TCCCTCTCTGGTTTCCTTAGTTTTATTGGATGTACTCCTGCTTATATTTTCACTAAATTTAAGGATTTTATCTTATAATCTTGAGAGTTAAAGTTACAATTTGAATAATGATATAAGAACTTCGGACGTTGATGCTTTATTTTTTGGAAGGAGAAATGGGATAGTGCAAATTGTTAAACTAATCCATAGAATATAGATAATTCCCTTATGGCGTTTTTTTCGTTTGGAGAACCCCTTTGGGCTAAATTTTTATAGGAATCTAGCTGAATTGTTGTTTTGCACTGAGAATGTCGAGGTAAGTAACTTTTACAAGATATTTGATCCTATGCATAATGTGTATCTTTTCTTATTTTGATAAGGAGATCAAAATTCTAGAAGAAATTGCTTCAATGAAATAGTATCCATTTCTATTTTTGAGATATGTAGTCTTGATTATGTTATCCACTGTTCAAAATGGGAAAACAGCAGAGGGATTTAAAGATAGCCATATATGGGATGGGACTTTAATTTTTTAGATAGATGATATGATTGATAAGTAAAGTATATATATTTAATGGTTGGTGCCAGTATTTTCTTAATATTCGTCAGTCAAATGTTGCCTACCCAAGAGCTTAAATAAATTATGAAAATTAAGCCCATTTAAATTATAATGGTGAATTATATCCACGGGATATTATATAACTTTAAATTATTTTGAAAGCAATGCCCATTTGAGTATAATTGCTACAGATTATGACATTTATCAAAGAAGAAATCACTGACAATTGTCTATTGTATTTCCCAGGGATTCGAACCGAACCCGAACCCGGAAAAGAAAACCCGGGTTTTTGAAAAGAAATCTGAACCAGAACCTGAACCCCGTTTATAAAATTTTCAAAACCCCTAACCGAACCCGGGAATTTTATTTGAACCCAGGTTCAATCGGTTTCAGTGTAATGTTTAAAATCATATATTAAGATATTTGTATAATTGTAAATACAAATATTAATAATTTAAATGAGATTTTTTAATATTTTCAAATTTCCAATAAAATGGAGTGTTAATAAATATTAAACAACTTAATTCATTTACGCCATTTTTAAAATTTTTTAAATTTATTCTCAAAAATTCCTAATGGGTGTTAATAAATTTTAAACAATTAAATTCATTTGCGCCATTTATTTTTAATTTTTAACTTATTCTCAAAGATTATTAATTAGAGGAAAATGAAAGTGAACAAATCAAAAAAAAATTTATAATATTGGATATTGTTAATTCAAAGAATTCTCAAAATCTAACTTAAAAATTGTTAAACAAAGATGAAGGGCAAGTTTTTTTAAAATTTTGTATTTTTAACTATATTTTGCCTATAAATAAAATAAAAAAATGTATTTTTTGTACCAAATTTATATCTAGTTTATTAATTATGATTTAAATATTATTTTTTTTTTATCAATTCAAAAATTCTTAAACCCGAGCTGAACCCGGAACCAAACCCTGGTTTAAAAATATTTTCCTGAACCGAACCCGAACCGAACCCATCTATTTATTTTTTACTTTGAACCGAACCCTAACCGAACCCGGGCTAAAATTTTGCCGGATTCGCAGGAGATCGGGCCATGCGAATCCTGAGAAACAAACTACTTGACAATTCTATAAATAGTATCTCATTTTGCTCCTTACTTTTACATTGAAATAAATATTCTAAATTTTGAAATTCTGCGCAAATGGCTCACGCGGACCTCTTTAAACCAACCCTAATTCATTTCTGTCTTTAATTAATTTTTTTAGTAGTTTAAAGATATTTTTTGTTCAAATAAAATGTAATATTATATAAAATAAGATTTAATCTGATAAAATCATATAATTTAAACATATATTTTTTTTATTTTTTATAATATTTACTTTTGGTAAAATAATGTATTGATAAAAAGCTTATTCACCATAAAAATATTTGGTAACTCACTGAATCACGGGGAAATTTTTAATATTATTTTTTTTTAATATTATTTTTTTTTAATATTATTTTTTTTTAATATTATTTTTTTTTAATATTATTTTTTTTTAATATTATTTTTTTTTAATATTATTTTTTTTTAATATTTTTTTTTTTTAATATTTTTTTTTATTAAAAATAATAAATATAAGATCTTCTAGATTTTGGTATAAATTTTTTGATGTAATAATAATTAAAAATTTAATTACTCAAAAGTTTTAAGAATTTTGCATACCTTTGGTTGAATTGGCGTAATTTAGGATATTTTTTTTATTAAAAAATAATAAATAAATGATCGTCTGGATTTTGGTAAAAAAATTTTAATGGAAGGGGTAAATTAAATATTGATAAATCTTAAAATTAAATATTTTTCCAAGTTATAACAATCTAAATGAAAATGGATATGATCTTTACATGTCAATCATAGCAAAAACACTATAGACCCTAATGATATATCAACCCACACTCAACGGAGAGATCATAAGGCAAGCATCCCCAGAAATGGAAGAAAATCTTCCTCTCATTTATATATATGTGAATATTCCTATTTTCGTAATATTAAAAATATGTCTAATATAAATAAATTAATTAAATTTTTAAATGATATAAATTTATATAGAACTATAATTGTTTTTCCTTAAAAATGTATATCTATATTATCATTGTATATATATTGTTTATTCAAATAAATGATTAATTATCTAGTATTTGATTTAATAGTAAATTGTATGAATTATGAAAATTTTCACAAATAAAATAGGTTAATGATGCTTACTACCTTAAGGTATCAAATTTGAATTTTGTTTATTTTTCATTTGGATAGGCACTACCAAATATATTTATAATATGCGATTTTTGAAAAGCCTCTATGGCCTAGTAGGCAAGAGCTTTACTGATCCCATAGTCACGGGTTCGAATCCCGGGAATGGTCATGTTTTTTTTCTTCTTAATCTAACTTGGTGGTTCCATCCTTGGGAGGATGATATATAGGAGGCCGGACTCGACCACGTGTTTCCGTTATAACATATTAAATAATAAAGGTCTTATTACATTTTAATAAATTTTGGGTATTTAGCAAATTCGGTTGGTATTTAGAATATTTTCATACATTCACTTGGTAGTAAGCATCATCCCAAAAAAATATCCAAACGATCTTATATTTATTATTTTTTATAAAATAAATAAATAAAAAATAAATATTAAAAAAGAATAAATAAAAAAAAATATTAAAAAAAAATAAATAAAAAAAAAATAAAAAAAAATAAAATAAAAAATTTTACCAAATATTTATATAACCGCATTTGAATAATATAATTATGTATTTTTAGTTAAAAAATTAATCATAATTTATTATTCTAGCATAAAATCCCAGGGTTCCTAAGAAGTCGAGGCTCATAAGATCCCCGGTCTCCCCTATTAATTTAGTGAGGCATAAGCAGAAAGGTAAAAGTCTAGAATATCACCTAGTTTTAAGCTGTCAGGTGATGCTAATATAAATTGGCCAACTTGTAGTTGGGTGATAATTAGAGCATTGGAGAAAAAAGCTGGTAACATAGGGATGAAATATTATGCGATAGATGCTGTTGAATGCATTTAAGATATCCATAACCAGCAGTTGAATCACGATAGAATCTTGGATGTAAAAAGGATAAAATATATTTTAGTTAAATATTTGCCCTGCAATCTTCGAACCTTTAGTTAGGAATCCGTCTAATATTTATTTGACAAATAGAATATATTAGTTGCATAGTGTGAATGATTAACTGATACTTTTTTTCTAATGATGATTTACTAATTCTGTCCGATATGATATGGTGTATGAAAAATGGATAGGAAATTTTTTTTTGAAGGTGGTTCTTGTCCCAGTTTACGTCATTTTTAAGGGGCAGTCGTCAATCAATGGTATTGCATATTGTTGATTGGTCGAGAATTAAACAATATGAGAGATCTTTTTTGTTTTCGTTGATAATTCATTATGTGAAATTATTTTTAAAATTCTAAAATTATTAAATTGCATTATAATCTGTTGTATTTTTCTTATGCGAAGCATTATTTTTTTTGATTATTGAAAAAATATAATAAAAGATACTAGATTTAAAGTGTTAATTTTTAAGTATTAAGCAAAAACTTGAGTGAGATAAAAATACTGAGTAAGATAGTTCTTGAGTTGGAAATTCTGAATGAATGCAGGAGGATATTAGAAATGAATATTTTTGGAATAAAATATCACTAGATTAGGAATTAGAGAGTTTTAAGATAGCAACAATATATATTGTCAATAAAAATTATTATAATTAAGGCCTATGGTGAAAAATAATAAATTTCAGTGTCTTATATAATTAAGGAATAAATTAACAAAATCACTATAGAATTAATTACGGATTATAATTTTGTTTATTTAAAAAAGTTGACAATTCTTAACATTCCAATTTTCTAAGTAATGCAAAAACGGGTTAAATTTATAATAGAGTTTTTACATAAAATTTTCTTAAAATAAGAAGAGCTCAGATATAGGTTTTTTTTTGGAAGAGAGCCTGCGCCGCTCTCTTACTTTAACCAAGCCTCCGAAGTTGTATATTTAAAAAAATATATATTAAACCTTATCAGCTAAGGTGATTAATAAATATATAAAATAGAGCCTATTCCATAAAGGCATAATAAAAATACCAATTTTATTATGAATTTTGCAAGATACATGAAAACCCCATCAACTTTATATAATGAAGTTATAAAAACTTACCTATTATTTTTTGATATCCAAATCTTTTATAACAATTTTTTTTTTGAACAACCATTTATTTTTTTTGTAATTAGCTATTTTATTGTAATATGGGTAAATTAATTTTTTAAAATCCTACTCCCTTCCACCATTGGCCATATAAAATTAACATTCCCTTTTTTGTCAATAAGAATTTTTGAAAAATCGATAATATTATTTTTTTAACGTTTTATATTATTACATAAGTATCAATTTATGTTTGTGATTATATTTTATTATAACAAAATTTTTGAACAAACTAACTTAAAATTAATAAAGGCAGACAACTCTTCATTATTTTTTAAACGTTCCCTATGTTTCATGATTTGTCCAATATATTCGTAAAAATATCAATCTTTCAACTTTACATATATCTTTTTACAAAACAATAGTATGGATTAACTAACCTTAGTGTAATACAAAGCAAAATCGTGTTAAATAACAAAAATATTATATTTGGGAGTGGAAAAACACCTACCCAAACGCTATCCAATTAAATCGGCAGGTTTTTAATTACAAAAACAAAATGTCGTCAGTTAAAGTTGCGGTGCGAGTGAGGCCCTTCAATTCTAGAGAATATTCTTACGATTGCAAGAGCATTATAGAGATGACGGACAAAACTACAAGTAAATGATTGATTTATTATAATATTATTGATTATTATTTAAAATTTATATTACACCTGATCAAATCCCAATCCAAATTTTGAGGAAAAAGACACATTAGATAAGATCTTATGTTAAATTCTTTTTATGGCAACGTGAGGATAATTTTATTTTCTCATAGCTTGCTCCCCCTCCCCTTTCTTTCGCTTTTATATGTTTATAGATTAGAAAATGAATCCTGTTTCACTATGGAGATATAATATTTTATAAGAAATGTATAATGCATAATTTCTTCTGTAGTTAAGATAATATTTCTATACTATTTTTTTTTTGAATTATATTTTACGAATATGACATTTTTTACGGAAAAATAACTGAAGTCAATCGTAATTATTTTAGGAAACTTTGCAAAGGGTATAGGTGAGACCTAGTTAGTGAAATTTTTGTCAAAATTATCATAGATCTTAAAATATGGATTATAATATATTGGTGAAATTTTTTAATATCTAGTGATTTTTAAAAAATAATCGAAATGGGTAACAGTAGATTTTTGGACCTAAAAACCTCAAGCTCAGGGAATTCCACTCATCGCTAAGGCTAGCGGAATCTAGTGGTATAAGATAAATTAATATTTTTATTCTTTTATTTTGACGCACAATTTAAAAAAAAATATATATAATTAATTCTGATCTATAATATTACCTTATACAATGAATGCTAAATCTATTAATGAATATTTTAACTGGCCCGATTAGCCCTGATTCTACTAGCCATAGGGTATTAATATTATCTCTAATTACTTCTAAAATATATATTTAAACATGGTTTATTTTTATGAAACTATTGAAATTGTTAAAATTGGGGTTCTTTCTTATAATGTCTAAATATAGCGGTGCACAAGTATTTTGAGGCTCGAAAACATATTTACGCACAAAGAAATTCTAATAGATGACGGACTTTAAGGATTAATACATATGGAATATTATTTTTAGAATGAGATTTGTTTATTAGTTTTAATAAGGAATTTGACTTTAAAGAGCGAGCAAAAGTTTATTGATTTTTTGTTTGCATAAATATTGACATTTAAGATGTTTTAAATGATGCCCTAAGGTGTGGGTGGAGGGGTAGAGGTTCTAATTTTTTATAGGATTTTTAAATTGTAAAAAAGATTCGGTTAGATCCAAATCGCAGATACAATCCGGTTCAAAATGTTAAGAAGCAATTTCATAAAAAATTAAAAAATTTAAACACTAAATAGTTTTCGAACAATATGAATAAAAATTAGCTTACCTTTATTAAATCCGGTCTTGTAAATGGGTCTGATTTTGTTACCGAGATTTCGCAGTTCCAGGTAATTCCAGTTTCAAATTATGGGTTAGAGGGTTTATAAATTTAATTAAATTTAAAAGATATGAAAATATTAATTATTATCATATATTGGAAAAAAATAAATAAGAAATAACACTCTATAAGAATGTTTAATTTTTGTGTAAATTATTTTAAACGCAAGATTGAACTCTCAATGACTTGTTGGGGACGACTTTAAAATTTAGAAAAACGATTATTAACTCAAACCGAGATTCAAAAAAAATTCACCCGAATTTTAAAATAAGGATTTGATTATATCGATTATTAACTCAAACCGAGATTCAAAAATAATTCACCCGAATTTTAAAATAAGGATTTGATTATATCTTATTTTATTATAAGAAGATCTTCTTGAACTGATCAATTTATCGACATTTCATAATTACCAAAAAGTTAATTAAATGCTCTTGCTATTTGTTATGTATAATTTCATCAAAAAAATTATCGATTGAAAAAGAACTGTGTCAAATAATTTGACAAACACTTAAACATTGGTTTTCAATTCGCTATTTTGTTTTGTTTATTTATGATTTAGATAGACGTCGGTTATGAGCTTATAAATATTTTGTACAAATAAATATTTTTCAAAAAAGAATACAATTTTAATGATTTCATATAAAACCTATGACGCATGTTAAATTTATTTACGACCGATTTTATTAATAACTAAATATGCGATTTTTTTTTCAAAATCTATCTGGCTTGGGCCAGAGCTTTATTTACAAATTATGAAAGTTGATAATCCAGAATCCCCATTCAAAATTTAAAATTTAGAAAAAGATTCACTTATTTTTTTAGAAAAATTATTAAGCATTTGTATATATAATGTTAATATATAGAATTTGGTAATACTAATACAACACAGCCTGAATTATTCAGGGGAACATAAATTCGATCAGTTTAAAATGCCACCGAAATTTTTCTTGACACTCTAAAACATAATATGAGCTGATAATCTAACCTATAAGGAGGATCCAGAATTAATTTACCATAATGATCATTTTAAAAAAAAATTTATTATTGATTTAAAATTAATAATGTATAAACACAATTTTTTTTTAAAAGTGTTTGTTATATATACTTTTTTAAAAACCTCTGACCAGATGTTGGGTCCGATTTTATTATTAAATAAAAAAGTTAAAGTTTTTAGATATTTTTTTAAAATTTATATAGAGTTTATAAGACCTCAAATATGTCAAAATTTGTATTAAAGTAGTTAATTATTTGAAATCTTGGAATTTATTTAATTTATCTTAGATATAAAATATCCCAAATTTCGTTTATTTTGTTATGATCTAATAAATATATGTATACAGGCGTGTACGCAGCGGGGGGGGGCAGGGGGAAAAATCCCCTTCCAACTCCAAGCCAAAAAATGCAGATGCCAGATATATTTTTCAAAAATAATTTATATTAATATTTAATTAAATTTATTTATCACATTCATTTACTAAGTTACTTTATTAATTAATTTAGATTTTCTTGGCGTAATATTTATCTATTATTTTCAAATTTCTAGTCAATATTGATAATGATGAAAATCCTAGTCATCTTACAAAAAGCAAAAAAGTACAAATAATTTATAACATTTTATAATTAGCCTAGAAGTAAGACATATGCTTCTTAAAAAGGTATTAAAGTTACCTATGATAAATATTTTATTTAATAATAGATTTATATTCCACCCCTCAAATTTCAATATACACAAACTTTATGTGCTAATTGAAAGTTAAAATTTTAAAACAGTTATTTTACTAAATGGTTATGGCTAGAATTCTCTATCCGGGACAATAAAGCTTATTGCAAGATATGAGTCCTGTTAGTTAAGTCAACAAGTACAATGATGGAGAAATCTTTGACAATCATCAAAACACAAATTATCACAAACGCTGTGAACCTATCATTTCTTCAAATTAATTGTGGGGATATGATTCCCATTTTATCACATATTGACAAAAATAGGGTTAAAATAGCAAAAGAAAATAGATATAAGCTAACTATTGAGACCATTCTATATTGGGGATTGCAGGACCTTTGGATTCAGGAAGCTTGAATTTCAATAATAATGATAATGAAGGTAATTTTCGTGGTCTTGTAAAATTTAAAGCATTAGGGGATTCTGTAAACAGAATTATTTCTGAAACTCCTTGTCCAACAAAGAGAAAGAGAAAGACACAAAAAGCTTGTCAAACGAGATGGAGTCTTCGCCATCAAGCAGTAACAGCTTTTATAGAGTTAGAAGAGTCGATTATTAATGTTCTTATTAAAATATAACATGCCTGAAGGAGATATTCAGAAGCAAGCAAATCATTGGATTCAATACTTATACTTTTCTTTCTCATTAGAATGTATATTATACAACTATTTTATGTATTTCCAAAAATATAACATTGACTTGATTGAGACAATGAGAATAGCGGAGAGCATTTTATTAGAACTCAGGGAAATTAGGGCTAATGTTGTTATAGAATTTCACATTTTATATGTTATTTTTGAGTCAAAAGCAGAGCTATACGAGTTTTACATTTGTCTCCCTCGACTTGCAGCGAGGCAAGCTCATCGTCCTAACATTAATATAGGGTCAGTAGAAGAGTATTAATAAATATGTATTTATCCCTCTCTTAAATACATTTATAACCCAAATAAATGAACGTATTATTTCCACAAAAGACTTTCCAACCTTTTTCAGATGGTAATAAAAAAATTAAATATTTAACAGATTTTTTTCATGAAGATGTTAAAGTATCTTATGATGCCTTATTAGCTCTATAATATAAAAGATTAACTATGGTTAATATAGTCCCAAATATGGATGCTTTGCATCATTTCAAACATCTCTAAGATTATTTTCCCAATGTATTAAAATTATTATATATTAATAACTCTTCACATTAGTACTACAACTAATGAGAGAACATTCCCTTCTTTAAGAAGAATAAAAACATACCCAAGGAGTACAACTTCTGACAATATATAATGGTTTGGCCCTTTTGAATATTCATAGGCATTTGACGCCAAGCACAGATGAGATAATTGAAAAATTAACTTAATCCCAATGAAGATTGGATTTTACATTATAAATTTATAATATGCTTCTTAATAATATTTTTTGTGCGATTTATTTTTTAATTATATTTTTTCATGAATACTTTTTAAATTATTACATACAAAATACAATTATTCCTAAGAAACTTGTGTAATAATTTATATTTCCAGCATTTAAATTTTTATACTTTATATATAAATTTTAAAGGCTCAAAAATTTAAATTTCAATTTTGGGTCATTTATTTTATAGTGATTTATATGCTGGTTATATCCACTTTATATTCTGTAATATTTATTTTATAGTTTTTCATATACCGCCGGTTATATCCGTTTAATATTTTTCTAATTCACATTTATTTTATAGTTTCCTTACTGGTTTATATATTTATTTTTTATAATTCACATTAATTTAAAATTCTGTATTAGAAATAGTTATTAGTCCTTAAAAAATTTATGCTTGATATTTTTAAATAACAATGATTTTATTTAAAAAATATATAATCCCCCCCTCCCCCTCCCACCAAATTCCTGCGTACGCGCCTGCATATATACATGTCGTATTGAGATATGGAACCCATAGGGTTTCGGAATATCTCAATTTTATATCATTTATTGAGGGCGATTTTAAAATCTGGAAAATTTGATTTGACTAGAAATGAATTCCAGCATATGTAGAGTAACTATTCTCTGAATTTCAGACAATTTTTGCCATTATTTATGTATTAATAAATTTATATGAAAAATCTATATAAAAATGTATATAAATTAAGTGTGGTTCTAAGGTTTAAGGTAAAAATTGTTTGGAATTTTTATTGTGGGTAATCCATACATGCTGGAATACATTTCCGATCAAATCATATTTCCAAATTTAAAAATCTCCTTCATTAAATGATAAAATTAAGAGATTCCGAATCCTCATGAATTCAATATCCCAATGTGACATATATAATATATATTATATAAATAAAATATTCTATCTAAAGTGAAAATTCAATTTTAATAAATAATTTTTCTTGTCGTCTGACCTATCCCAAGCCCCAAGTTTTCACTAACCCTAAAGGATAATTTTAAAAACTTTTAATGTTTGCTCCTTTAATTTTTAGCTAAATTTAGTTTACAAAATCAAATCTCAAAAAGCTGAATCAAAGAAATTCATATCCCTCAGACAGAACATATAAATCAATATTTTCAAATTTAACTATTGTTCCTTTTTATAAGAACTCAATTATATTTTCTTAAAATTTTTTTTTTTTAACATTTTTAATATAATTTAAAAAAAAATTTGTGATATATAAAACTCATAAAAATTGGTAGGATATTGTTTTCGACAAATTAATTTATGGCACCTAAGTTTTTATTAAAAATCTAGGGGAAAAAAATATTACTTTAATAAAATTAAATTTTTCTAACTTTATGGGTTTAATTTTTTTAGTATAAAATTATATATAATAGAAATATTTTTTGCTTAAGGGGGTATATCATTGTTATGATAGTATTAATTTTCAGACTCTAGACTAAATGAATTGAACCTAAGTATCCCTTGTTACAGTGTATACCCTACCTCCCATTATTTATTTACATTGGTAAAGAATAGTATAAATAGAAAATTATTTCTTTATTTTAAGTTAGCCCAAATTGAGTTTTAAAATTCCCACTACCAGCCAAATAAAATAAAAAATAAATAAATAAACCGATTGGACGGGTACAAGGAAAAGTATGTAGTAAAAAATCGATTTATTTATGAAAATCGAAAAATATAATATAAACAAAAGTATAATTTTATTTTCCCAATTTCGTCGACCATTAAATATTAAAAAACAAATATTTTACTATATAACTTGTGTATTTAGTTTAGATAATATTTTAGTGGAGCGTTCACCCTAGTTTTTGAAAGTTTTTTTAAACGATATTATATAATTATAATTAAAGTTATTCCCTTTTAATATGTATTTTTGAAATTAGTCAATATGTAAATTTTTACAAAGTGTAATGAATGATAATATCCTCTTTTGAGTGTACAACCTCTTTTCTATAAGTTGAATTAAATTACTCCCATACATATCAATGCCTACACTGGCGAGCGAGGGATGCAAGGTCAATTTAATTCCAAAATTAAAAATTGAGAAGGGTGGGGTTCGAAGATAAATTATCACGAGCTCAGAATCTCATAATGCATGGAAACGATAAAATAGTTTGCTATGAAATCGCATCCATCTCCTTAAGTTATAAATAATACATTTATGTTTAAAATCATGAAAAGTTTATAATATATAATCAATTCTTATATGGAATACTATTTTAAAAAAAATTTATTCATAAGGTTCGTTCTTCAACAACATTAAATATTTTTTTATATATGAGCCAAATCTCAAGGCATTTTATATAGTTTCGAGGATACTAATTCAAACTAAAGGTCTGCAAAACTTGATATGAGGCACACCAAGGCCGTATCCCGATCTGAAAAATATTAAAATATTTTTCAGGCCGGGTTTTCACATCACTATTTTTCACCACGCCCTTCTATCGATTTTGTTATGTAATATGATCTTGATATTCTATCAAGAACCTATCTATATTGGGGTACACTTTGTATCATGCAATTTTTTTTATTCTTAATGTAAATAACACTGAAAAATATAAATAAGTTAAGAAGGGACAAACTAGATCAATAAATAAAATTTATCAAAGAGAAAAATCAACAAAATTACAAATCCATTTTAAATAGTTAAAAACATTCAGAAAAAATTAAATAACGGTTTTACTTTTTTGATTGAAACTTTTCCTTTGTTGATTAATTCTTTACTTTTTTTTTGATCGGCTCTGTTCTTTTTGATCTGAATTTTTCTTAAGCTTCTGGAACTTTTTTGATCAAATTTTTTTAATGGTAAACCCAATACATGAAGTTCTTTGTAGCCTAGACCAGAAAGGCAATTATTATCACACAACTGTTTCAATATTGATATTAAATGTAGAATTTGAAATAAATTTTAGTACATATTCTTTGATAGGTAGATCTCCAGATTTTGTTTCCTATTGAAATTATTTAGAAAAATTGAAAACCTTAACCAAAATAGTTATTAGAATTATACATTACATGATTAATGATATGTAAATTTTATTATTCATCAAGTTATCACAAACCCTAAAATATCCCCCAACAGTAAAGAGGCCATCAAAAGTTTCAACTTTGACTACTCGTATTATTCGCATGACTCGGTAAAAAAAAGAATAAATATATTATTATGTATATATTATACCATTAAAAACCACTGGGCGCTTTCAGGCTCTTATCATTTATATATATATTAAAAACAGTAAATTTTATATGATTAAGGCGTGCTAGAAACGTTTGCTCAAATGAAACTAATTTAGGAAAAAAAATTTTCTTTTTTAAAATTAAAAAGTGGAGGTGGTTGGGGCGTTGTGAAAATTCAATCATTATGGTGGTTAAATGTATGTAAAGAGGGTTAGGAAGGAGGGGGGGATTTTCTTCATTTGTTAAATTTAATTTGGATTGCTTTTTTATTCTCTAATTCTTTTTTGGATTTGGTTTGACCCTTATTATTGTTTAATTAGAGAATGTGAGGGGGGGGGGAGGGAATATTGTTATTGGCCTAGGTGTATGGAAGTGCCTTCATAATAAGCACGCTTTCACTGTCTTAAAATATGTTTTAAAAAAACGAATATGTATTTAAGTTATTTTGTAACCTTTTATTTCTGTTTTATTTCTTTTAGTTAGAAATTAAAAGGTGAAATTATTTATATTCAGGTAGATTTAGAGATATTAACAAAATTAAAACGATTTACATTCACTTATTTTAAAAAGTTAATTAATTGCTAGCAGGCGCGTACGCAGGAATTTGGTCTGGGGGGGGGGATAATAAAATTTTTTAAGAAATATTATTGTTTTTTAAAAATATCAAGCATAAATTTATTAGAACTAATAACTATTTCTATTTCTAATACACAATTTTAAATTAATGTGAATTATAAAAAAATTATATGTATAAATCGTCATATAAAAAACTATAAAATAAATGTGAATTAAAAAATATTAAACGGATATAACTGGTGGTATAGAAAAACTATAAAATAGATGTGAATTATAAAATATTAAGTGAATATAATTACTCTATGAATCACTTAAATGACCCAAAATAGAAATTTGAATTTTTGAGCCTTTAAAATTTATATACATAAAAAATTTAAATGTTGGAAATATAAATTAATACACAAAAAGTTTCTTATGAATAATTGTATTTTGTATGTTATATATTTACATGTAAAATCCAATCTTCTTTGGGATTGAGCTAATTTTTCAATTATCTCATCCTTGCTTGTCGTCAAATGAGTTGTACTTCTTGGTATGTTTTTCAGATGCGGTGTTTTTTTAAAAAAATATCCGGGCCGGGTTGTATATTTTAAAACAGCCTATATTTGAAATCGTTATTATTAACTATAAAAATCAAAAAGAAATATATTTTATTTTTAAAATCCGGGCCAGGCCTGAAAATTTTATCTTAAAAAAAGCCGGGGACTTGAAATTTTTTTAAAAAATACCCAAACCTGCCGTAAAAAATTTTAAAAAAAAAATTCGGGCCGTGCCCTGCAAATGGTACCTCTGCAGGGCTCTGTTGTTCTTTTTAAAAATGAGAATGTTCTCTCATTAGTTTACTAATGGGAAGAGTTGCTAATATATATAAACCCTTTTAAAACATTGGGAATATAATTTAAATGAGTTTGAAATGCAAAGCATCCATAGCATTTTTTGGGACTATATCAACCATAGTTAATTTTATAAATATAGTTATTCCTAATAAGGCATCATAATATACTTTAACATCTTCATGATAAAATCTAACAAATATTTTTTTTATCACCATCTGAAAAAGGTAAGTAAGGCTTTTGTGGAAGTAATATCTGCAGATAAATGCTGCACGATGAATTAAAAACCATTCATTTATTTGGGTTATAAATGTATCTAAGAGAGGAGACATTTGTTTTATAATACTCTTCTACCATCCTATATTAATGTTGTGACGATGAGATTGCTTGCTGAAAGTGGAGGGGGGCAAATATTAAACACGTATAGCTCTGCTTTTGACTCAACAATAACATATAAAATATGAAATTCTTCATCAACATTAGCCCTATTTCCTTGAGTTCTAATAATATGCTCTCCGCTATTCTCATTAGTGATCTGCATCGAACCTAATTCTTCAAGCCCGGCCTGAAATTTTTTTTAAAAAGTTTTGCCGGCCCGCCCCGAACCCGAATTTTTTTTTAAAAAATTTACCGACCCGGCCTGGCCGAATTTATTTAAATATAGAAATTAATTTTTATAATTACTCAAAATAAAAGACATATGTTATATGTCGTTTAGTTTCAGTAACTAAAATCAAATATTTTTATTTTTAAATAAAAATTCAATATAAAATTGATAAATTTAGATATATTTAAAAAATTTCCAAGGTCCGACCCTACCTGGCCCGAATTTTTTATTAAAATATTAGGCCCGGCCCGGCCCAAACCTGATTATTTTAAATAGAATTACGGACTCGGGCCGGGTACGGGCCGGGCCTAACTTTGCAGAACTCTAATTCTCATATTCTTAATCAAGTCAATGTCATGTTTTGAAAAGTATAACGTATAGTTGTATAATTAAATAATACATTCTAATGAGAAAAAAAATTTGGAATAAGCATGGAATTTAATAATTTTCTTGCTTCTGAGGAAATATTTCTTTCAGGCCATTGTGATATTTCAGTAATAGCAAATAATCGGCTTTTCTAACTCCATAAAAGCTGTTACTGCTTGATGGCGAAGTATCTATCTTGTTGGACAAGCTTGCAATTTCTTTCTCCCTGTTGCACAAGGAGTTTCAGAAATATTTATTATTTGACTAGAAATTTGAAAATGGTGGATAAATATTACGCCACTAAAAATTCGAAATTATAAGTAAATATCACGCAGGAAAACTTGAAATAGAAATTAGTTGATAAAATAACTTAGTAGATGAATGTGATAAATAAATGTAATTAAATATTTAATATGAGATAGGAATAAATATTAACAAATATAAATTAATATAAACAATAATATTTTGAAAAATATATCCGGCATCTGCATTGGGGGGGGGGGGAGGGATTTGTCCCCCTGTCCCCCCGCTGCGTACGCGCCTGATTGCTAGAGCTTAAATAGAGGAGCCGTTTTTGGACCAAGTTAGGCCCGAATCTTTATTTATTTTTAAGCTTAGCTCTATTATTTAAATTTTAGGAGGGTATACTTCTGGTTGGGGAAGGGCATCGAAGTGACTTGCAGGGCTCTACACTAAATTATATGATTAAAAGCCTAAAACTATACTATTTATCTTAAAGGTTGAAAAGCATATAATTAGGCAAATTATATCTTTTTCCTTCATAAAAATTTTTATGACCCGGGGAATTTGTGTAAAATTATTTTACGGACCAGGTAAGATATCTACGGGCCGGGTAGAAAACCCTTTTTAAAATTTCCGCCGGCCCGGCCGCGCCGACCTCAAATTTATATATCAATTTTTTAAGAGTTAGTGATAGACAAAAGTGTACTCAGTTCACATACATTTAAATTGACTTTTACGTAACTTTAAGATATCAATATCACTGTGCCCAATTGAAAACAAATGTTAAGCACATTTTTAAAAAATAATTCTTATTTAATTTTATTCTATTTGCAGGAGAATCCAAGCTTTGCTACGCAAGATATGGTTTATAAGGACATAGGTGAAGAAATGCTCAATCATGCATTCGAAGGGTTTTTATTCATTAATATTATTTTATAGAATACAACTAGTGGCGTCATTGGCTCTGAACACTTTAAGGTTGCTTAAAAGCTGCCCCTCTATTCTTAGGACATGATAATGACATTTTTTTTAAAAGAAATATTGACTTTTTTGTTTCAAGATGAAAAACATATTCTTTTTGTCATCTCAATTTTATTACGAGGTGGCTTTAGGATTATTACATCAAAATTTTATAAATATTGAGTTGATTTCAAAATTGTGAGAGATCCTTATCATATATCAAAGTTCCAATGAAAATCATCCTAATTAGAGCTTCTATCTAAAGTTGGAAAAAATAAGTTCTATTCTATCGTTTTTTCATAAGGCCATTTCAAGACAGAAAGTTTTTTTCAAAACTTTTTCTTAGGGCATTTTTCCAGAAATTATTTTTATTTTCAAATAAAGGATATTAATTTGTTGAATTAATTTTTTTGCATAATATAATATTTAAAAAAATTTTTTTTTGCTGTTCTTATATCTTTGACCATTTAATCGTTTATAAAAATTGAAATAAAAATTGCTGGAAAAATGCCCAGAAAAACATCTTTAAAAAAACGTTCTGACTGGAAATAGCCTAAAGAAGAATTTTAACAACAACATAATATCCTTTAATATTCTGAAATTTTAATGTTTTATTCTTAAAAACACATTTATCAAAAGTTATAACGTGTGCATATTCGCTTATGGCCAGACAGGAGCCGGCAAATCTTACACTATGATGGGCAAGCAAGAATCAGGCGAGAAGGGAATTATACCACATATGTGTGAAGACCTGTTTTTGAGAGTGGGTAACGATATTTGCCGTGCTGGGGTCAGTTCGGATCCCCATACTTCTTTGGATAACCCTGACCTTGAAAATTTCGGTATTTTATTCTACTTCATAATTAATCTATTGCTGCATAAAATAAATTTAATAGTATATTTATTATCTGATTCAATTTTGCCCTTTCTGTGCCGTAAACTCTATCGTTATTTTTTCTATATTCGTAAATCAATCTTTAATGTCTATATTACGAATACAATAGCATTTATTGATCGTTGTGCTTTATTAGAATATTAGTAAGTTTATTATTTTTGAAATCATAATTGTTTTAAAAAAATAATGTGTTAATAATGCACCAATATTTTTTATAAACTCGAATGATGTCAACGTTTGTAATAATTTAATATTATTACAATAATTTTTTATTATAATTGTTGATTGTACAGGATACTTAAATAAAACTAAATCAGTGGCCTATATACCCCTCCCCCCACTGAGCCAATGAAAATAAAAATATACCATGATATAAAAGTGCCCCTCCCAGTCTCCATAGAAATGAAACAGGTATATTTTTAGAACTTACCCAAAACTTTCTCTTAATTTCTAAAATAAAATTAAAATATTTTTATTGAAAAAAAATAATGACAATAATCTGTCCAGTATTATATTGAATATGATTAAACTATTAGAATTAGAAAAATATGATTTTTGTACAATATGTAAATATATATTCATATAAAAATATAAGATAAAATTTGAAAAAATATGAAAATTGTAATAAAAATAAATTTTAAAAAATTAATTTCGATATAGGGGAAGATTATGATCTATATAAATTTGAGAAAAGAGAAAAGAGCGGAGGGGGGGGCGACAACGCTGGCATCCCCTTCCTTTAGAAAGTCTAGTTAAAGTTTGTTAATAATTTATGATGAATAAATTTGGGAAAGACAAAGGTTACAAAATAACCGATAAAGGTAAAATAAATGAATAATTTTTCCAGTCTAAAGAATTGTCTTAGCCATACAAAATCATAATTATTAAAAATTCAAACTAAATTTTACCCTTCATTAAATTCATAATATCTAGATGTCAGATTAGTCACGAATCTGCCCTATATTTGGGCAATTTGGTCCTTATTACAATACCTGACATCACGAGACTATTTCTCAAATTGAACGAATGGGAAATTTGTCCTCCTCAATCTATAACAAATTCTTTTCTCCACCCCTACAAAAGTGTTTAGACAAGAACAGACCCCATTTAAACGACTCAAATGAAGGCGAAAAGTCTCCTTCCTTCCTAATTCTTTTTATACTGTTTTAAATACTTCTTCTTTTTATTCAATTTTTTTTCCATACCCAAAATTTTATTAACACTTTGAACTTCTCCCATTTTTAAAAACGAGATATTTCTAGCCGCACATGAATCTAAAATCTAAATTCTCTGGGAATCCATTCTTAAAATTTGATAATAATTCATGACTTCATGTCACCCACCCTTCCAAATCGGGAGATATCGAGATTATCTTTCCCTTAAAGCTTATTTCTTTATTTCCCCAAAGTTAACTTCTCAAGCCAATCTTGATCACATAACAGATAATGAGGACAGTGATCTAACCCTACCCTTGCAATTTCACCAATCAGATCCATCATTACAAAAAGATTTGAATACTTTTCTAGATTCCCGTTAAGTTACTTTCCTATTATTGAGTGAAAATATTGAGAACAATCCATCTATCAATTAGTCCTCCGCCTATTTTGCGATGTTGTAACACCTACTTTTGTGTAAATTACAGTCAGCCTTTTCCTGCATATGCATACTTGCACTGTAGGTATTCTCGAGGACGTCATTCCCATAGTAACTATCATTTTTAAAACACTTAAAAGCTTAAAATTCATTCTATCATAAAGCCCATCGAGCATATCCCCGAAGATAATAAAAGACTCAGAGATATAACTCTCATATGCGGGGAAAATGACCTCCCCCTTGCATGATTTTACATGTATAGACTTTTCAGCGAAACCCATATCCACCTCAACGATTTCCCTAAAGGAGATTTCAAAGAGAAACAAATATTTAGTTCTGTAGAATATTATTTTCTTTTCATTCCAATAATATCTCTATCCTTGGAATTTTCTAAAGTGAAGCCTCTCTATAATAAAAATTCTAGGAAAAAATTTATAAAGACAGGGGAGACATGAATGATAATACGTAAAACAGCACATATCCCCTGAGGAATCAATTCTAGGCCACTTTAAGGTAAATCATTATTTTATATAAATTTTTATTGTTGTTTTTTTGTTTTATATATTTCGAAATGTTTTTATATAATTTTGACAAAAATAATAAAGTTTTAATTAAAAAAATCAATAAAAATATAATTTCATTTTTTAAACATTTTTAAACTTAGATCATTTATCCCTAGGCACTGCTATTACTGTATACTAAACACCCCTTCAATAAGTGTTGAGGATGGCAGTAGTGTATTATATTTTATAAACAGCTTTTAGGATTACCAAAAATATCTCTTAATTTTCCAATTATTTTTATTAATCATCAATGAAGTCATCAGACATATCTTCATCAAAATCAAAGAAAATCGTTTTCTCTCTTATCGTGGAAATGAGTCTTGGTACTAATTTTCTTCATAGGTGTCTTATTGGTATCCTTTTCTAAAAGAAGAAACTAAATATTTTTCCTTTTTATTTTGGACTTTAGGTTAAGGATAAAGAACAATTAAATATTATTCTCACTAGCATTTTTTTCCTTTTTATTTTGGCCTTTAGGTTAAGGATAAAGAACAATTAAATATTATTTTCACTAGCATTACTTAATATAATTGATGACATCAATTGGCCAACCGGTTATAAAATATTAATTCAGATATACGGGCAATTTATTTTATTCAACATTCCATCTATGAATGTTTTTATATGAAAAAAGAGGGATGTTATATATTTTATAAAATAAATATATTTCGATATACATTATATAACGCGACATTTTATTATATAGACAAACCTATATGGTTTAGAAAGAATAAAAATAGTAATAGAATGTTTAATATATAATAAACATAAAGAAATATTTATAACATTCTGACCCTACTAACAAATTCCTCTTAGGATAATTACATGTTTCGGGAAAATAAGAATTTTTGATTAATATTTCTATAGAGGTCACACATGTATATTCACGAAATTAAATATAGCATTTGTCAACTCTAAGGATTCAAAAGAGTTAAGATGGAAATGACTTATTTATTAAGCCCATAAAATGTTATTTACTCGGTAATATTGTCGAATAGAGTCATATAATATTATTTCAAAAAATTTTAAGGTGGTCTTTGCCAATATGAAAGACGGAGAAAAAACTGAATTAACATGCATTCCAAGCAACAGTTATATTGAATGGATAATAAGAGGGCGATTAAGTAATTTAATTTTCCAATATACCAAGTTGTATAATTTAGCGAGAGACACGGGAATATTTCCAACTTTTTTGGTACCAATTAGACAGTTAAAAAAGAAAAAATTGTCCCAATTTTTAAGCGTAGATTAAGAAATGCCGGAATTACCAACACATATGTTTATAGAGTTTTCGCTTCCTTTATTGGACAAATGAGAGGAAAGATAAGTAACTGGAGGTAATAAAATATGTACTCTACTAAAATATAAATAGAAAATGATTGACACAATGTATTCCCAGGATTCAGATAAATACAAAAATGTAAAGAGGAAATTAAAAAAGGGTTTAATTTCAGACATAAAATTAAAATAAAGCTAGAGTTTGAACGAAGTAAAAGTTAATTTTTCAAATTTAACTAACAACTACGCGGAGACTAAAGATCATTAACGGGTGTTCGGATTTATTCTCATTTGAAGAACAGACATTTTGCAGTGATGCAAGAAAATAAAGGAACGATTTCGAGATTTGCTTATATCAAAAAAGCTATAAATTAGTTTAGGAAATATTTTGCCCGTAAATTGTTCCATGATAGATTACAAATCGATGAATTGGCAAACTATCAAATTGAATTTATAGTTTGTTTTTGTAGTAACGATTTAAAATGGTCCCGAGACGTTCGAAGATCAAACCTCATCATTTTGCCTTGTTGCTTTGGAGGAGGCAGATATTTAAAATGGAGAGGAAAATTCCGCCCTCCCTTATAGGTACGCTACTAGTTCAGAATTTGTCATTAATTATATCAGTCAACTCATATTGCCATATTGCATTGTATTCCCTTAAAATACTTGTATAGGCTATATGTTAAGGAGACCAGTGATGGTTGGGGCACTTTTGTTTAAACCGTAATAAATTCAATTATATTAGACTAAACTGAATAAATAAAACATGTTCTGAATCCTAGAGGTACAAGCTATTTGAAATAGTTATTATGTATTTTATAAACACTATACCTTTTTCAGAGTTGTTAAAGGATCGACGATCATGGATTCAATCCTAATTTTGGCAATTTATCCGGATTTATGATTTTCTCTTAAATTGAGGATCATGGTCGATATCATTTTGTTAAATATTCGATCCTTCGATCATAAAAATTTATTTTTTTACTTAAAAAGTATCTAAACCAAATAAAAATTTTTAAATCTATCATCATATTTATACATCCTCCGCCATATTTTATCTCATAAATTTTTTCAGGACAATAGTTACTTGATTTACCTACAAGTTTTATTTATTCAATTAATAATAAAATATATTATTTTTAGGCCTTTACTAATGTCTATTATAGATCTAGAAAAAGACACATACAGTAATTGAAGTGACAGGCATAAGTGTGAATACCTTTTACCTTTTTCTCAGCTCCATATAATGTTAATTAACATTTCTTAAAATATATTTCCTTCACTGTGTGAGGACAGTAGCATATTTACAGCAATAATTCACCTAAAATTTAAGTTTAATTGACCTATCACAAAATCTGTTGGTAAAAAAAGAAGGTTAATTACCCATTTGGAAAACCTGCAGGATAACCACATGCAGATAATTATTCAAATGATTATATAAATAAAACTGCTACTTTGTATAGATCCTTTTAAAAAGATCAATTAACAAGCCTGTCCGAATCTGAGACCCAACCATGCCATACTCTTATATGGAGACACCTATATGTGATAGTTGCCCCACACATAAAATAGAGGTCTAAATTTAAATCTAAAATTAATTTTTTTTTTTGATATAGCATTTAATTTATTGGTAATATCATATTATGCACTAATTAAGTAAATTAAATTGCATTTGGAGTTTTTAAGAAATTTAAATTAAAATAATTAAAAAAAAAATAAATATTTTAGATTGAAATATATTAAATATTCATTGAAAATTATTTGCATTTGTTTTAATCAAAATAAAAAAAAATAATATGCAATAATTAATAAATATCATTCAGAATCATATTAATTTATGTTTTGTGATTCTGAAAAATTGTCTGATTAAAAAAAGGACTTAAACTTTTTTAAAATTTATTTATATTCTATAACGTTATTTATAAATCAAAACATTAAAGTTTGTAATTTTTTGTTAATATGCCAAAACCATTTTACTCAATAAAAATTAAAATACTATATATTTAGAAATCTTTTTTAGTCAATTATGTATGACATAATTATCTATATTAGACTTAAATTTCCAGTTTAATAAATTAATAGCTCAAATTATATTTGGAGTGGACTAACGTTTCCCTGTGCTCAACGCGCCCTGGTTTCCCCTACTGATACTGACACATTTTTTTGTATTAAATATTATAATATTGTATTTTTATTGTAGTTGGTTGGTATTATCAATCTATTTGTCGCTTCTTGTTATGGGATGTGTTATAATTGATTACAGTTTTTTTTATTTAACATTTTGAGTATTTTATATTGGAATGTTATTCTAATTTTTTATCATGGGGTACAAAATTCTCTGATTGAAGCAATAGCTTTTAAAGTTACTCCCTCAAAATTCAATGAAGACATTGCTTCAGACCCCCCCCCCTGGATGAAGGGCCACTGAATTAATTCACGAGCATGCTAAGCTTTTATGTCTTGCTTTTTTAGATAGATTTAATCCTTTAAGCCTATTTGCGCAGATGTAGCCGAAATCACTAAAATTTTAGTTGCCTTTACTAGTCTTACAGCTATTTAATAATTTGCAAGTTAATATTAAACGTTACATAATTTTCTAATATTTATAAAACTCATTATAACCCTAATCTATGGATTATTTTTTTTAAGCATAGGTAAAGTTTAGGATAGCTGTAAGGCTAGAAAAAGCAACTAAAATTTTGCTAATGGAAATTTTAATGTCTGCTAAAACGTAACCTAAGCAATGATTCATTGTTCTTTAGCACATTACAAAATAACCTACTGAAAGTGACCATTTAATACTCTTTATTTTTCGACCATATTTACACCTTAAAAATTATTTTGCTTTTTTTAAATAGTCACATGATTAGTAATCAGGCATTGCTAGCTGCTATGCTACTATTTAAAATCGATAAGGTGCAACATTTTATTAGAAATGAACAATTATTTAACATATGATAATTTTAAATTTCTTCAACTTTCATTAATTCAAAAAAAGAATCGCTATCGGAAATGAGAGATGTCGCATTTATTTCCGATGATGCCATTACAGATTTTCCAGTTAGATATTCAGTCGAAGTAAATCTAGAATTATAAATCTATCTATATATCTTACCTTTTTTAAAATCATGATTAGTTTTCCTTTTAATTATACATGTTACAATCAAATCATGTAGTTAATTATTTCGTGCATTGACTGAATAAAGGACAATATTACCTAAATTTTTCAAGAAAATTACGCGAATTGGCTGTTTTTAGAAAAAAATCTCAATAAATAATTAATATTTCATTTTATTTTTTCCCCCATTTTCTTCCCCTTCTTATTCATATTGCCTTTCTCACCAATACATAGTTTATGTATCCATTATTGGTAGCAAGTGTAATGGAATTGAATTTTTAGAAACTCCTTTTCCACATGTACCACAATGCCAGGTGTCCTATTCCTCCATCTATAAAGTGTTCTCACCAATCATCACTTTTTTCTTTTCTGTATTCATTTTTAAGCCCTTTGCATCCATAAATATCTTCCATTCAATAATTTTATCCTTCCGTTCATTTTCGAGTTTGTTATCAATTAGTGATCTGCATTTGGCCTAATTTTTTTAAGTCTGGCCCGATCCTGTACTCATTTATTTTTTATTTATCCCAAACCTCTACCAGACCTGAAAATAAAATTTATTTGTTCTCTCGGCACGGCCCAAATTTATTTAATTATAGGAATTAATTTTTTTTTTCATTATAGTTTTACATTTTTACATTGAATATAATCGAGTTTTTGATCATTCTACAAACAAATAAAAAATATTAGTGCCTTGTTTCGCTCCAAAATTTAAAAATTTATAAATTTTTAAAAATAATTAGGCCCAACCCAGCCCAAACCGATTTTTTTAAAAATCAACCTAAAGCTTGTTCAGGTCAGATCTACTTTTGCATATCTCTACCATCAACCAGAGACCTGCTCCGGGCCGATAAACCGGGTATAGGCCTAAATTAGTATTGTTAAATTTCTCGATTTTAGCCGATTTTTAAAAGCGGCTAACTCAATATTTTATCTAAAAAAACATTATGTAAGCATTAAGATTTTACTCGTAGATGGCACAAAGGTTTGGAAATCGATGACGAAATCTTTAGGTTTAGGTCAGTACTATTTTGGCGTAAATATTGAGTTAATCGACTAAAATCGAGCTGTTCAATTGAGCCTACATTTTTTATTTAAATTTAGCTTATTTAAAACAGTTGCTAATAGTGCTATTTTAATTTCAGTATTGTAAACAAAATGATTAACTAAATACACTTACATATTGTTTATTTTCATTAAATATAATAAATTGTTTTGGATATTTGTTTGGGCCGGGTTTGAAATAATTTTTGAAGCTTATTATGTCATCAACATAAAATAGCTCTTATGAATGTCATTTACGCATCTTTCTAGCCACCACGGCCATTACTAGGAAAAATATCGGGTTCATCCTACCTTAAGCCTTAACATGGTGGGCTAATTGAGGTTTAGAAAGTTTCTCTTAGTTTGGGTTTAGAATATGATCACCATCTCTACGGAATTTAAAAGCCTCCTAAAGGGGTTAAAGTCTAGAAAGGCATCTGATTGTAAAAAACCCCTTCCACAATGATTAATTATTAAAACCAAATAATTTATTACCTTAAAAATTCAAATGATTTCTTACAAAAGATAGCTTATCGGGTAAAACTAGTTTCTTTTATATAATTATATTAAACTGTTTAGTATATATTTTTTTAACAATTATTCTTCTGGTTTCTTTGATTAAATTATATTATGCTTAGGATATTTAGCTATAAAATAATAAAATGAGTTTCAACTTATGCTAGCGTCTTCTGACTTCTGATGTACCCCACTTTTTTGCTGCTATAAAAATTATTTAAACATGAAAAAATCTAAAAGTATCAATTTTTTTTATCATAGACTAAATAGAGGAATTAACCGACTCTCCTTTGAGATACTAGTCGATTTTTTTGCCAACTTAAATTTTATAGACATTTTTACAAATTACTTTTGATGTACCTCGGTCCTCTGTATAATTTTTTTACAAAAAAAGGTGAGTTATATGGAAATTTATTGTGAAAGAGCGAGAGATTTATTGAATCCTAAAAATGGAAATTTGAGGGTAAGAGAACATCCAATTTTAGGACCATATGTTGAAGATTTATCCAAACTCATAGTGACTTCTTATCAAGATATAATGGATTTGATGGATGAAGGCAATAAAGCTAGGTTTTTCTTTCGCCTTTAATATATATAAATATTTTTTTAAAGGAAGGAAGGGAAGGGGAAGGGGAAGGGGAAGGGGAAGGGGAAGGGGAAGGGGAAGGGGAAGGGGAAGAAAATAAAAGGGAAGAGAGGGGAAAGGAAAGGGTAAAGAGAAGGGGAATGGAAAATAGAGAGGCAAGTGGGGAGGGAAATAATAAATCAATATTAAACTTAAGAATAAACAAAGGGGATAGAAAAGAAGAGACAAAAAAATATTAAAATTAAAATGTAGTTATACATTAAATTATTAAGAACTGTGGCAGCCACGAATATGAACGAAACGAGTTCTAGGTCGCATGCAGTGTTCACCATCATTTTCACGCAAAGGAAGTTTGACCAAATGACTAAACTTTTTGCTGAAAAAGTTTAATAATTTTTATTATCAAGAACAGATAATTAAAAAAAGTAAAAGACAAGGAAGAAATTAACCCCATAAATTTTTTTTTTATATATCGTAATTTTTTAGGTAAGCAAAATAAGCTTAGTGGATTTGGCTGGGAGTGAAAGAGCAGATTCCACTGGGGCAAAAGGAACTCGTTTAAAGGAAGGAGCTAATATTAACAAGTCACTCACAACGCTGGGCAAAGTTATTTCAGCCCTGGCTGAAATTGTAAATATTACTACTTTAATATGTTTATATTTTATTTTAATTTCAAATAATATGAATGTGATTATTAGAATGAATGATATATTCGTTTCAACAAACTTTTAAGAATACAGTTAGTTTATTTTACATTATAAATATAATGTCTATATATGTTAGCGGCAATGTGTTTTTCCCTGCAATTTGTTATTTTTTAACTTTAAGTCGTTTTTTGAGCGCGTTCTTTTTAGATTTAAAAAACTGATTTTACCGGAAATGAATTCCAGCATACCCATCTTATGAATTATAGATAATTTTACCGTTAAATTTTGAGTATGTTAGCGACAATGTGTTTTTTCTGGCATTATTCTTTCAACTTTAAATCATTTTTTTAGCACGTTTTTTTAAATTTAAAAATCTGATTTTACCAGAAATGTATTCCATCACTTTTGAAATACCTACCCTATAAATTTCAGATAATTTTGTCGTGAACATTTGAATTTAATATAATTTATATTAGTTTATCTATAGAGTTTTCATATAAATTATAAATGACACAAAAGAACAGTAAAAGTATCTACAATTCATAAGATATGGCTAATGCTAGAATACATTTCTGGTGAAATAAAATTTTTAAATTAAAAAAAACGCGCTAAAAAATGATTTAAAGTTGAAAAATAACATAATGCTGGAAGAGACACATTGTCGCTAACATATATATACTTAATAAATATGCGCCAATTGTTTCATTCTGTCACACTTGAGTAATAAATTGTATTAAGACAACCAAATATAATTTTTATTGAATGTACCTTATAAAAAATTTCGAATTTTTATGTCACTACCTTTTTTTCTACCGTTCTAAAATTATGTTCACTATTTAAAACTAATTTTTTTTAAAAAAATAAGATCAGATAAAATTTAGTTTCAATAGATTCATAATTGTAAAATTTTTGGAATAATAAAAAATATATTTTATAGTCCACAAATCCGAAAAAGAGGAAAAGAGCCGATTTCATTCCTTACAGGGACTCAGTTCTGACTTGGCTTTTGAGAGAAAATTTGGGGGGAAATTCGAAGACCGCCATGATAGCGGCTATAAGCCCAGCCGACATTAATTTCGAAGAAACGCTTAGTACTTTGAGGTAAATATTTTTTTGATCTTTATTTATTATTTGTATTACATTTTCATTACATAAATTGTAAAACAATAATTAATTTTTGGGGGTTTTTTGAATTAGGTTAAATTAAGGATAACACGATGTCATCATTAAAATGCATTTGGAAGTGGAGCTGACTGAATAAATATTGTTTCATTTTAACCGGGTCACAAAATAGAATGGTTTGGGAATGCAACTTAATGAAAATGAAAAAAATTGATTATTCTGGAACTTTATCAAAACACTTCCGAAACTTTCCCAAAAATAAATATAAAATTTCATATTAATTTAAAATATTTATAATAGCTCAATTTAATACTCACCTTATTTAAAATTGAAATAAAATTGGAAATTTTTCCACTAAAACTGGAACAAAACAGATTTTTTGACTAATCGCAATGGAACAGGAAAATCGATAATATGAAAATTAATATAAATTACCATTAGTTCAAAAATTAAATACAAAATTTTCTTAAATTTGCATAGTTTTAGTTGTTGTTTCTAAAAGATCTAACATATTGAACTCTGTCATAATGTATGGCCGGTATTAATTGTACAAAGGTAAAAATGAATGCTATATATTTGGTAAAATAAGGTATGCGGACAGGGCTAAACAGATCATGTGCAAGGCCATTGTCAATGAAGATCCAAATGCTAAACTAATTAGGGAACTGAAGGAGGAAGTTCAAAGGTTGAAGGAATTACTGAAATCGGAAGGAATCGATATAGATACGAATAATAACATCATTTTAAGTTTTTATATTGATACCTATAGCCTTTTGGTGATTTAAAGAAGAGTTAGCCAATGAGAAAGATTGTGAGATTTTTAATTGTCTTTTAAGTCTTTGCAGATTTTTAAGAAAAATCAATTAAAAGAGAGGAATAAAAGATAGACGTTAAAAAATATTTGTTAAAACATCTTTATTATTTATCTTTTTACAATGATAGCTGTGCTCCTCTTAACTACAATTTCTTGATATAACTATTTCTTTAATGGCAATTTAATTTTAAAAAAAATTTAAAGTTTCATATCTTTATTTTATAATATTCAAATATCAAATTCAAACATTTTTAACTGGGGAAGCCCCGGTACTTAATAACTTTTATAAACACCCTTTTACCTTATTTTGTATTTATAGAAAACAATGAAAGTTTTGAAACTTTCAATAATACGAATGATCCAGAAAATAGCCAATTCAAAGATATGAACATGAGCCGAAGAAACAGTTGCGTGTCTGTTAAAGGGGAATACGCGGTGGAAAGAATCAAAATATCCGAAAAATTAATCGCCGAACTCAACGAAAGCTGGGAAGTAAAATTACGCAGGACTGAAGCTATTAGAATTGAACGGTTATTTGGAATTTTTGACATGCGAAATTTTTTTATGAATGTTATACCAAATCAATCTTATCAAATTTTATGACTTATATTATTAAACAGTACTGGTCTGCTACTTGCTTGGGTAAATCTTACTATTCCACCCTGCCACTCTAATTTTTTTAAATATGATTTATCATATGTGCGAAAAATTAAAGGAAGAATTTTTGAAATTTCGCTAATCCCAAATATTATAATTTTTCACACTTAAAATAGTTTTGAAAATTAATATTTTGATATAATAAATTAAAATTTTATTCCATATTTTAAAACTCTTCAAAAAAATATCTAATTTTGGACACATTATAGAATAAAATAATATATAAACATCAAAAATTAAACATCATATTATAAATCAATTGGAATCTTGAAACTAATCTTAAATTATCATATTAAGATTATTTTGGTTAAAATATGACTACTTACAAAATTTTGCTAGCAAAGATTGGTAAAAAAGAATATAAAACATGAAAAAAAAATTTTTGGATATATTTTTTTTAATTGTTGAATTATTTTATTGGATAAAATATTAAAAAATTATATTCTAATTTGACCGCTCTACAAATAATAATTTTTTTAGCGCCTTTTGGCAAATGCTCTTAAAACTATGAGAAGTATGAGAAAAGAACTTAGCTGTATCAAGCTAAAAAAAATTTAAATATCTTGATTGCTAAATAGTGCGTTCGATAAGAAAAAATTATGTAATATAACCAGTTGCATTATATACTCATTTTGTTTTTTAATAGAGAAAATTTAAGATTTTCTTTTAAAAAGCCATAGCTATTAATCGTCTTTATTATGCTTATAATATTAAGTGAGGGCGTTTTGGCCGAAATGGGAATAGCTGTTATCGAATCCTCGGGTAACACTGTGGGTATTTACTCTCCCAAAAGGACACCACATTTGGTCAACTTAAATGAAGACCCCATGATGTCCGAATGTCTTATTTATTACTTGAAAGATGGGTTAACAAGGTTATTATAATTTCATATCACATATTTAAGCCTTATTAATAAATTTTAACTATTTACATATCTGCATTTTTTTTTATTTTAGAGAAGGGATATATTAAAAATTACCATTAACCATTATTTTACTTTTTAAAACGATTATAAACTTTTAAATTTAAAATTTAAATTTGTTATGATAATATAGCCCTTTTATAATAAATAACTGTTTTTAAGTAAACCAACTCTCAGTATTCACCTATGTTAGAAACCTGTTTTCCTGACCCGACCTAACTCAAAAATTTTTAGAAAGAAATTCTGAATTCGACCCGAAATCAGATAAATTTATTTATTATTCAATGTCGTTTTGAAAGGGAAATTTATCATATGTCTATGGTGAATTCCATGACAAATCACAAAAAAAAACACTATTTTCAACTTGACCCTCTCAGTGTTTTCAAATTTTTACTAGTGTTTATATATTATAACTAAAAAGAAAAAAAATTAGCCCCCACGAAATAGCGGCTGAGATATGGAGCTCTAAATGATAAATGGGGCAAGATTATAAATAAAAAATATTAAATTGAAAAAAAATTTATTTAATTTCTCATTATTTTTGATCTACTTGAAAAAATGTTGTAAGTTATATATAATATTTTTTATTTCATTTTTGACGTTTAACCAATTGAGCAATTTTTTTCTCCTAGATATGTTTCATTAAATATTCGATTGTTCAATCGGAACATTTACTATCAAAAACAAGAAAATATATAAATAGTTCAAAAAATAACATTTGTTAATTTTACTAGTAACGTGCTTGAATATGTTGCAAAAAAATCATATAATCAATTTTACAAAAATATTTTTTTTACTAATAAATTAAAGAATTTTTTATAGGTTTTAGTTGCGATAGTAAAAGAATAGAGCTTATATCAAGAGGTGCAATTTCGTTTTTTAGTTTTTTTTATAAAATATCAAAATAAAAACTCTATTTTTTGTCTGCTTTTAAAATTCATTATTTTTGTTATAATCTCCCAGCTCTACAAAGGCATCTTTGATTGAAAGTAACCTAAACCTAGTATGATATTATTAACAAACCGATTTCTTAAAATCTGTTTATAATATTAATATAGATGTGGGACACCCGATACCGATCCGGCTAACGATATGCAATTGAGTGGGAGGTATATCAAATCTAGGCATTGCGATTTTCAGAATTCTAACGGTAAATTCCGTCCATTACATCCATTTTTTTCCTACATTATATTGTATAAAATCTTATGTTTCAATAACACTACACTTCCATAACATATGCAATTATTCTATAATCAATTATTTCTCATTTTTATTTCATTTGGCACTATACTTTGGAAAATTTTCACTCAATTCTATTTAATACACATCAGAGATTTGCATGCCTTAAAGTCCGACCCGCGAGTCGGGCTATTGTGCAAAATATTTTTGGTCTAGAATTACCAGCATATTTTTTTGAACCTTGAATAATTTAAAGTGATAATATTTCCACTTTACGGGAAGGACTAAAAAAAATCGTACTGACCAGGCAATCTTTGTAAAATAGTTTTCGGCCAGGTCGGACTAAACAAAAATATGTATGAACGGTTCGGGCTCCGAAGATCTCTAGTACACCTACACCTCTTTTTTTTATAGTTTATCTTGCATATCAAAATAAGGTTGATAGTTTATTTATATATTTTAGCAGGGTAACTTATTTATTATTGAATGATATTATATAACCCTCAACTTTAACAAAAACTACCATAATTTATCTTTATATCAAATTAAAGAAAAAACAACCTCCAAAATAAAAATTAACACAATTTTTTTTTGCAAATTTAAAAAATAACAAAAAATAATACAAATTTTGAAAAAATATATGAGAGCTGCACAAGATATCAATTTTTTTACTCATCCCAAACCAACCCGTATAATAAATACATTTTCCCAACCCGACCCAACCTGAATAATTGTTAAAAAACAAATTCCCAAACCGAGCATATTTAAACCGATTATAAAATCTAAAAATAATTCGCTCTAAAATATATTTATTTATTTTTCAGTATGTTATAGGAAATAATTTAAATTTGAACGAAATTTTAAAATAATGTATAGTCAAACCATGATTTATTTGTATCATATAAAATTTAAAATTGTTCAAACCTGACTATCTAGAAAAAAAAATTCCTGACACATCCCATCCCAAAAATAAAAAAATAACCACCCTTTCCCGACCTAACCCACTGAACGGGTCTGAATTGGGTTTCAGATGATGGTTAGTTTTTGCAGCCTCACTGACTCTAGCTTATGTTGTTTGCCCCATTTTTATGGTTTTTGATAAATATTTTATTAACCACTTTCTTTTAAAATTATTAATTTCCTGTCAAATGTTCATATTTTAGTTTGGCACTTTTCAGCTCCTTTTTTTATCATATACTTTCACTTATTTTTTTTTCTATTCTTACTACCTATTTTTATTGAATTTTATTTTTAAAATCAAATGGAAATTTAGATATTATTAGCTTGATTCCCTACCCAGGAGCTAGATGCTACGTGAACGGGAAATTAATATCAAATACAATCATTCTAAACACCGGATCTAGGGTCATATTAGGCAAATATCACGTTTTCAGATTCAACCATCCTGGACAGCGTAAAAAATTATATTTAAAAAATTATTAATATTATTATTAAAATAGTTAATTTTTTATGGTTAAAATATGATTCAGCATAAATTATGTATCATAATCTATTTTGAGTTTGGTATGGTACAGCCCGCTTATAATCTGTCAAGAGATCTTAAAATTTATAAAGAGGGATGTTTTAAAATAAGAAAGATGGTAAACTTAATGACATATAATACTTAGCTAGTGGCACAATTCATTCATTAAAATGCATATTGAAGCGTCGTTGAATACAAATCAGTTAGTGACAGTCTATCGCTTCTCATATAATTTATTATACAGTCGATTTTTTTTAAATGGGAATGTTATAAGGTGGGTTAAATAGTTTTTAAATATAGTCTTGTTAAACGGCTCGATTTAAGCCGTTTTTTAAAAACGACTAACTAAATATTTTATCCAGAAAAATGTTATTCAAGTCTGAAAATTTTGCTAATAGATGACACAAAGGTTAGGACATCTATTTACCAAATCTCGAGGCTAAGGCAATATTTTTCTGGCTAAAATATTGAGTTAGCCGTTTTTAAAAATCGGCTCACATTTAACAACACTAGTTAAATAATTAATAATAATATAAATTATAGCTAGAGAACCTAGGCACGAATCTTGTACCGAGGATGAAAATGAAGAAATTAAGGATGACGTTTTGATAAATGCCGCCGATTCAAGTAAAATTATAATTCGATATATATTTAAAATAATAAATATAACAATTTTTAATTCAAAGTTGAGATCAATCAATTAGGAGTATAATCTTATAATCCTCCCCTCCCCCTTCTAATGTTTTAGTAATTATTCTAAAATAATTCTTTTACTTAGGGGACAAGGGCTAGTCGGTTCAATTTTTGTCAAAATCATCATAGCTACGAATATAATGATTGTAAAAGATCTTGCAAAATACCAATTGGGAATAGTGCCAGTCATTTTATATGTTTCATAATGTCTTAAAAAAAAATTTCTCCGACAAGCCACGATTCAACTAATCCCAATGGTGATAATATTACTAATGTGATCTTTTACGTTGTGCCGTATTACACAGAAATAATATAACTCTATACAGAAATAATATATAACTCCGAACTTTATTATTAAAATAATATCAATGAAAAATTACAACGCAATATCAAATTCAAAATTTACAATTTTATAAAACCATAAAAAAAAGAATCAATTAAATTACAATTTCGCTTCCCTTTTATAGGGAAGTGGATAATAATTTAAAAAAATAATTAAAAATTAACAATCTAAGAATCTAAGAAAGCACCTACTCATGCTGCAAATTTAAACTATAAGATAAAAATACACTTTTACAAATTAATAATTATGGCATCATAATTATAATTAAAAATTTATACAAAAAATTACTATAAAATTTTAAAATACCATAATTTAACCAAAAATAATTTTACAAAATTATAAAATAAATTAACTAAAAATCATCATGACTTAACTAAAAACAAACTTTTACAAATCTAAAAATATAATTCAATATTCTTATTCAATTACGACATGTTCTTATTAACATATATTTAAGCCTTACATATCAATCTGAAACATTCCTAATTAGAGTTTTTACTTTCATATATTGTCCATTTTGTCACGTTTAAATTTATAATTTTTTAATACTAACTAAAAATGTAGAGTGTAAATATTGTAATTTTCACGTCAACATGTTATAACAAATAAAAATTGCTAAATAATATAAATTATTTTCTTCCACAAATATGGATATCATAGAATTCTATTTTAGAACAAAATTTTAATTTACTGGTTTTCCCATTCAAAAAAGGAAAAGTCCCAATCAAAAAAGTAAAAGTTTCAATCATAAAAGGAAAAGGTCCGATCAAAAAAGGAAAAAGGTCAATCATAAAAGAAAAGGTTCAATCATAAAAGGAAAAGGCCCAAACAAAAAAGGAAAAGTGTCAATCAAAAAAGGAAAATTAACAAAAAGAAAGGAAAAAGTCTGATCAAAATGTCAAACAAAAAAGGAAAAAGTTCAATCAAAAAGGAAAAGTGTCAAACAAAAAGGGAAAAGTGTCAATCGAAGAAGGAAAATGCCCAAAAAAAAGGAAAACTGTCAATCAAAAAAGAAAAATTCCCATTCTAAAAAGGATAATCGTAATTTTTTAATTTTTTTAAAAAATATTATAAATTTTTCAATTTTTCTTAAATTTTTTTATATTTTTTTCATTCCTTCTTATTTTATTTCCATGCGAATTCTTTACAGTAATTTTCTTAAGTATCTTTTCTCAATTTATTTTTAACTTTTTACTATTTTCTTTACTTTATTTTTCTTACTATGTCTTCCCTCAATTTATTTTTTCATTTTGATAAATTTTTTGTATTTTTAAATATAATTTATAAATTTTGGTCCATTTTTTTAACAATTCTTTACGTTTTTATTTCATCATACATACAATATTCCTTTTATGATTTTTTCATTGTAGTCTTTTACTTACATTTCTAACCTTTTCAATCTCTTTAAGTCATTTTTAATCTTTATTTTTTAAGCTTTTCTCAATTTTTTTTCTTCTCATTTTTGATAATTTTAAAAATAAGAATTTAAAAATGATTATATTTTATTAATTTACATATCGTTTGGTATTACAGTTTAAATTTATTTAATTTTAAAAAGGTACATTATAACCAAACAATTAATTTAATTAAGCAATTGCAATTAAATACAATAATCAATCTTAAATTTAAATTTCTAGTCAAATGATGATTATCTCTGAAACTCCTTGTCCAACAGGGAGAAAGAAATTGCAAGCTTGTCCAATGAGATCGAGTCTCCGCCATCAAGCAGTAACAGCTTTAATGGAGTTAGAACGATAATTAATGTTATTACTGAAATATCACAATGGCTTCAAAGAAATATTTTCTCAGAAACAAGAAAATTATTGTATTCATTACTTATTCCAAATTTTTTTTCTCATTAGAATGTATTATTTAATTATACAACTATTTTATGTAATACTTTTCAAAAACATGACATTGACTTGATTAAGAAGATGAAAATAGCGGAGAGCATTTTATTAAAACTCAAGGAAATTAGAGCTAATGTTGATGAAGAATTTCATATTTTATATGTTATTGTTGAGTCAAAAGCAGTGCTATACGTGTTTAATATTTGCCCCTCTCCACTTTCAGCAAGCAAGCTCATCGTCAAAACATTAATATAGGATAGTAGAAGAGTATTATAAAACAAATTTCCTCTCTCTTAGATACATTTATAACCCAAATAAATGAATGGTTTTTAATTCATCACCCAGCACTTAAAAATCCGCAGATATTACTTCCACAAAAGCCTTTCCAACCTTTTCAGATGGTGATAGAAAAAAATAATATTTTTTAGATTTTTATCATGAAGATGTTAAAATATCTTATGATGCCTTATTAGCTGAATAACTATGATTAAAAGACTATGATTGATACAGTCCCAAAAAATGCTATGGATGCTTTGCATTATTTCAAACACATTTTAGATTATATTCCCAATGTATTAAAATAGTTATATATATATTAGCAACTCTTCTCATTAGTAAACTAAAGAGAAAACATTCTCTTTTTAAAGAAAAATAACAAAGCCCTGCAGATGTACCATTTGTAGGGCACGGCCCAAATTTTTTTAAAAAATTTTTTCGGCCCGAGTTTTTTTGAAAAGAATTTTCAGGCTCAGCCCGGCTTTTTTGAAAATAAAATTTCCAGGCCCGGCCTGAATTTTTTTAAAATAAATAATATTTATTTTTGATTTTTATAGCTAATAATGGGATTTATTTGGTTTTAAAATATACAGCTCGACTCGGATATTTTTTTTAAAAAATTTTTCAAGCCCAGCCCGGGTGTTTTTTTAAAAAAAAAATTGGGCCTGGCCCGGGTATGTTTAAAAAAAATTAAAATATGGTCCAGCTGGGGAACCGAGCCTGCAAGTCTTTGAAAAACATACCTATGAAATACAACTTCTGAAAGTAGATTGAATGATTTGGATCTTTTGAATATTCATAGGCATTTAACGCTAAGCAAGGATAGATAATTGAAAAATTAGCTCAAAACATACAAAATACAATTATTCCTAAGAGACTTTTTGTGTATTAATTTATATTTCCAACATTTAAATTTTTTATACTTCATATATTTTAAAGGCTCAAAAAATTCAAATTTCAATTTTGGGTCATTATAGTGATTCATATCGTGGTTATATTCACTTTATATTTTATAATTCACATTTATTTTATAGTTTTTCAATGCCGGTTTATATATATAATTTTTCTGTAATTCACATTAATTTAAAATTGTGTATTAGAAAATTTATTAGTCCTATAATAAATTTATGCTTAGTATTTTTAATTAACAATAATATTTCTTAAAAAATTTTATTATCCTTCCCCCCTTCCCCTCAGACCAAATTCCTGCGTACGCGCCTGAAGAAATCGCTAAAAGTTAGAAATAAAATAAGAAGCAAAAATAAATAAAAATTTAAAAAATTAAGATTTTCCTTTTTTGAATGGGAATTTTTCTTTCCTTTTGAGAATTTTCCTTTTTCGATTGACACTTTTCCTTTTTTGATCGGACCTTTTCCTTTTATGATTGAAACTTTTCCTTTTTTGTTTAGGATTTTTCTTTTTTGAATGGGAAACCCTGTATAATCGTTATTGGTTTTAAAATAAAATCCGCTAAACCGACAAGCCCTTTGCGCCGATTAGCCCTGGTCTCCCCTAATTTTCATCAGAAAAATGTATATTTTTTTAAGAAAAAATAGCCCAGATTATTTTAATTCTCAACTTTTCACACAATTTGTGATTAACATTTCGTTATAAGAGTATGCTGGAACCCTGAAATGACAGATTCATACCTTGCAAAATTGGAGGTGTAGTAGAGCCTAATTTTTAAAATGGTTGGACTCAGATTTGATCAAATTTTTTGTTTATTAAACCTTTAATTTCAAATTTTTAAATGAGCAGTCTTCATCATTTTATGTTAGTGTATTATAATTTTATTGTCTCACTTCAATCAATATCTATTTTCAATATATGAACAAATAGTGATTAAATAAAGAATAATCAAGGACTTTATTTAAATTAAACAGACTTTTCCCCCAAATAAATGTTTTTTGGAAGAGGACCTAAATGAGGTCGGAGGCAAAGCTTTAGTGGCTATATATGAATTGTATTCATTATACGGATAATAAAAAAAAAATTATATTTCACTTAAAAAATTTATCCTATTAATTTTTTAGTTACCTCTGATGCTCTTGTTTATGTTTTTTTTACTAAAAAATTTTTTAAACTATTTGACCAGAGCCTAAAGACTGGTCTTTCGCTCAATCTGAGTTGCTGGAAAAGCAGGGAATCGATTTAAGGAAGGAGATGGAGAAGAGGGTTCTTGAAATAGAAGAGCAATACAAAAAGCAAAAGGAAAAAATTGACAAAGAATTCGAGTTGGAGAGAAAGGTTTGCCCTTATTTTATTCACATCAATGTATAATAGAGCCCCACATGGATAGATCCGGTCCAATCCGAACATAATGTTGCAAAAAATATTCGGGCCGGACGGAATCGGACTTGTTTTTTTTTAAATAATTGTTTAGTTCCTAAAGCTTTTCCATTTAAAATTTTAAACATTTTTTCGAGTAGTTTCCAAACTTAAGACCTTTCATAATATTTGTAAAGTGAATATTATTTTTAAATTCTTTTTCAGGGCGTTGTCTATCGATTAAAATAATAAAAAAGTGTAATTTTTGTGGAAAAGTATAATATTTTAAAGGATAACTTTTTTTTTAATTTTGGAGGTGATTTTTCATTTTTACATAACCTAACTTCATTAATTAATTAATTAATTTTTTTTGTTAGAAATTATGAATTTAATCATTTCTTAAAATTCACCAAACCTTATTTTATATACTTCAATCCATCAAATTTGAAAAAGTAAAATTATATTCTAATATTTATATAATATTAATAACAAAATAAAAGTATGGAAATTATAGAAAATATAATGATAGGCTATTAATATACTTACTATTATACTTGCATATATCCGAATCTAACCCTCCAGAAATGGAGCTAGGACATCCTTAAAAAATTTTGCGCCAGACTTGGCTGGCAAAACTTTTTGACCTTGTCGGCAGGGGCGGACTGGCCATAAGACCCGGTGGGCATTTTGCCCACGAGGCCGCGAGAAAATGTCGATTTTGAGGCCGATCGGAGGAAAATATAAAAAAAGAGGTCTATTAGAAAAAAAAATAATATTATTATGTCCATAATATTTTCTCTTATCATTTATTTATTTTTAATATCGCATTCCTTGAGAATTATCATGTAATTTACTATATTTGAATGCATAAAATATTAATAACGTCGCTTGACGCTATACATCATTATCACGTGCTTTTCCTTGTTTTTTTTTCGAATGAAGTGAATCGCTTCCTTTTGAGCTTGACTACGAGTAGAGGGTAAATTAAGTTTTAATTAATTTATTATATTATATTTTTATACATTAATTTATTGTAGAAATAATATAGCAAACTTTTGTTATTGTATTGTTCTTAATTCAAGAAAAGAAAAAAACACAGGTATAATAATTTTAATAAATAAATTTTTGATCAATTTGATTTTCTAAAGTTTCTTTTAATATTAATTTATTGTTATTTTATTATATTATTACTAACTAAGCTTAACTCAACGAACACAGATTGTTAAAATCTCACCTAATATTTGGATTGCAACAATTTACTAATCATTTGCAAACAAATCTAATTTAATATTTATATAGCTATTTTTTGAAATGTATGTGTTGTCCTGATTACGTGGGTCTGGTGGTAGATTTTTAATCAATAAGGATTTGTTTTGAATTATTGTGAAAAATCGTGATTTTATTATTGTGAAACAAGGAAAACCTCCCATTCACATCTACCTGAAACAACTACATTATCTGCAACATCTTCTTTTATTATTGCATCAGTTCAATCATTGCCACACCCACCTATAACTATATTGCCAACCATTACAGCAGATAAATCATTCACACACCCTGAAAATACATTAACTACAATTACAGCAATTCCATCTTTATTATCCTCACACTTGTCAGAAGCAACTACATCAATACTGCTTGTAGATATTTCACAAAGTGGATTATCAGAATTGGATATGCATAAACATGAAAATTTTAAGCTGCAATTAACAGCTACTATACCACAAAAACTTGCATTCTTAATGCAACATCCTATACAACCAATAAATAGTAAATATGATAAATTATATTATCGAATGGTAATGAATGAAAAAATACCTAGAAAATGGATATTAATAGAACTAATGTGCAATAAAGCCAAAGCTGTGTACTGCTCAATCTGCCTGGCATTTGCAGTATGTGAAAACACTTTTACAACAGGCTCAACAAATTTTCGTCATATGCATTCAGTAATTAAAATACATGAAACAAAAGTACATATTAGTGCTGTCGAGGCCTACATCAGATCATCAAAAAATAAGTCATTTGATAATTCAATTAGTATTAAAATATTAAATGAAAAAAATCGACAAATTTATAGCAATGTCCACATAATAAAACAAATATTTGAAATAATAAAGTTTTTAGGCAAACAAAACTTACCCTATAGAGGATCAAATGTTACTGAAACACTTAGCCACTTTGTAAATGAAAATTTGAATCATGGGAATTTCCTGGAAATGATTCGTATTATATCAAAAAATGATCAAATATTAAGAGATCATTTAGAGAAGGCTATTTTAAAGAGCAAACGTAGAAAAGAAAAGCTTAAACTCTCTGAAAAATCAAAATCAAAGGGAAGAGGTTCTGTCATAACCTTGTTGTCGATAACAACTGTTAACAAAGTGATAGATGTTGTTCTTGATCAGATCAGGAATTTAATAAAAAAGGAGATTGGTAACAAACGTTTTAGTTTGCAAATGGATAGTACTCAAGACATTAGTGTTTATGATCAAGCAACTATTTGCCTACGATACATATATAATGGCAAAATAACAGAAAGGCTTTTTGCACTTACAAAAGTTACAAACTCTTCTGGAAAAGGATTTTTTGATATCTTGAGTGTGCTTTTTAAAACATGGAATTCAAATGAGAAATATAATTGGAGAATTATTTGATGGTGCGGCAAATATGCGGGGTGAATTAGTTGGGTTGCTAGCTCTTATTAGACAAGAGGCTCCAAGTAGTTTGTATATTTGGTGTTATAGTCACATATTAAATCTATGTATATGTGATTCATGCCATAATGTTGAAGGCAAAAATTTATTTGGATTGTTGAACAGACTAGCAACTTTCTTTGGTTAATCATATAAAAGGATGGATGCTTGGGTGAAACAGAATAACTCATCTGGCCAAAATAAGCTGAGAAGACTTCAAAAAATAGGAGAGAAAAGGTGGTGGCCACATGAAAAATCCCTTAGATGGATATATGGCAAAGAGAGGCTACTTCCAATAACGATAAGTGCCTTACAATTTATAATTGATAATAAATCATTTGAGGCAAAACCCTCACCAGAAGCACAGTCTTTGATTGATAATTTATGTAAATTTAAGACTCTAAGTACTTCTATTATATATTTAGAAATTTTTGAAATAATTAGGCCATTGTCATTATATCTTCAAACTAAGAATTTAGATATTTTATCAGCGTGGAAAATGATAGAAGATGCCAAGTCTTCTGTGCCATCTATAACTATTACTTCAATTGAAAATAAAACAACAAAAATGGCTTCTAATTTAAATGGAACACTTTCATATTTAAAGCTCCCAGAGAGTATCTGGGTACAAACTGCTCTGCCAAAAAATCAAATAGGACGAGTGAAGAGAATATATAGTGATGAAGGCCAAGATGAACGTCCTCAAGAATCGATTGACCTTCATAGGGTCGAAGTATTTCATCCTATAATTGATCAAATTATAAACAGCTTGTCGGAACGGTTTTCTGCGAATAAAGTTATTTTGAATGTGCAATATTTGCATCCAATGCATTTTGAGGGTATAAATAGTAAAGGTATTTCTGAAAAGGCCTTAGAAAAACTGGCACAATTGGCAAATATATCGAGTGTTAAATTACGTAACGAATTGTGTTCATTTGCCAGTGTATTCAAAGATTTAGTGGAAGAATTAAATGAAACGGACAATGATATCGTATGTACAAGTGAGGATTCATATGAAGAAGATGGAATATTACAAAATGATATTAACTCAAAATGTGATAATAGATGTAACAAGTGTTTAATATGTGTGTACGAAATTATTAAAAGATACAATATGCATACAAGTGCTTACACTAATTTATTTTTAGCATATGAATACATTTTAACTTTATCATTTACGCAAGTCAATTGTGAGAGAACATTTAGTAAATTAAAAATTATAAAAAATGGGCTGAGACCAAATATAGGACAAGAAAAATTAGAAGCATTTTTAATGATGTCAGTTGAACGGGAACTTTTAGCGCAGATTGAACTAAAAGATATTCTTGTTTATTTGTGCAAAGGTTCAAAGTTAATGAGAGATTTATTAACTTAAAAATTTATATTAATTCTTTTATTTAAATCTTATTTATATCTATTTACAATATGATCGGCGGTAGCAATTTTATTTTCTGTGCAATATTGTTTAATTGCAATAATTTTTTATGTGAAATTAATTGATTTTATATATTGAGTATTATGTATTATTTTATAATTAACATGTGATGTATGATTTAATTTTATAGTGCATTATTGTTTTATATCTAATATAAAATATATGTGCAATAAATATGATTTTAGATGTGCAATTTTATGAAATAAAATATATATGAGTATCATGTCATTATTCTTCTTTTTTTTAAAAATGTACATCGTTTGTAACTATTTTCAAAAATAAGAAGTTATAAAAATCATATAATTCAGAAGCCATTTAAGGGAACCCGGCCGAAGGCCGGGCAAAACAAAATTAAGGGTATGGGGGCGAAGCCCCCATAAAAATGAGGCCGCTATAAAAAAAATGCCCACGAGGCCGTAGCGTCGCCAGTCCGCCCCTGCTTGTCGGACATCGAAAAACATGTCTCATGCTGGGATCTAATATATACCTAAACATAACTTATTTTTTTTATAGAAATTTAATATTAAATTTAAAGTGGGATAAAGCTGAAAATATATATAGGAATAAAATAACCTTATGCAAATTAAAATATTTATGGAATTTATTGTCTTATTTCAAAATAAAAATGCGATCTTAGAATTATGAATCCAGAATATTGGATTTGCAAAAACAGGTAGAGACCCATTCTATGGCCTCTAGCATGATGACTGAAGATTTTAACTTTATGCCCAATTCTAATAGCAATTTTATGTCTTCAAGCCTTTACAGCTCTAACAATCCTTTTTTGTCGAGTTTCGGTAATGCTAATTGCCACAATAATAATGATAATCAAATGGCTCTCATGCGTCAAAAGTTATTAGGTAAACTTGAATATTTTTTTTAACTTTTGAATCATTGAAATGAAATCATAGTATTAAAGAATGGATAAATAATAGATTTAAAATTATTTCCTTTAGCAATTTAATAACTTTTTAAAATTATTATTAATGATATACATTTTAATTTATATAATATCAGTATATAAAATTATTATTTGATCATGATCCATTTGTAAATAATGATAAATAATAATAATTAATAATAATTTTCTCTTTAGATATAAAAATTGAATTTTCGAACAATACAAATAATGATTTATTTAGTAAAAATATAATTTTATTAAATACAAATTGATTACATTTAAAAAATATAATATACTAATCAACTAATAGCTGGGAACTGAGGTTAGGCCATCAAATGGTATGTTAAAAATACGCTGGTCTTAAAAGTACAAACCTGGGCTTAAACATTTTTTTTTTAAAAAAATCCTGCCCGAACTTTTAAAAATATTTAAATGATATCAAGTATTCAGTTGGAAAATCATATTTTAGTGGATCCTTTAAATTCATTTACTGCTTATATCTTTAATTTCCCTTTGAAAAATTTACACAAATATATTTAGAACAATAAAATTTTAAAAATTCGGGTCATAAAATTATAAAAATTTAAAAAATGTCCTGGGCCAGAAGTAAATTTTTTTTAAATCGAGTAGGGCTTAAAGACTTTATTTTTTTCAAATTGGGGAGTCGGACTTAAAATTTTGACCTCTGTGAGTTTCTAAAATTAATACTGTCGTAAGCTGTCAATAATAATATTTTTGCAAATACAAGTATTTAGCCATTAGATGTCAATCAAAGATTGTAAAATTTTGATTGGACTTGATGATATTAGGATTATTATTATTAATAATAGATGCATAATTTGAATTATAAAAAATTTAGACACTTTATGTTTAATGTAATATTCTAAAATATTTTGTTTCTAATTTATTGAGAAATTAGCATTATGTTAACTAAAAGGAGTAATAAAATACATACTCTATCTAGTTAGCAGATACCAATGATGTTCTTGTTTAAATAATAGAAATTGGCCATATATTTAAAGAGAATAAAGGGAATAATAATTATGAAAAAGAGAGAACCCATATACCTCATATGTAGTGATGGCCAACAGAAGCGGTACCTATAGGCTGCATGTAGTTGGAGTTTAGAAACCAAATACTATCACCTAGTTATTTCTCTGCCATAATTAGTCCGAACATCACTATTAAATTGAGATAGTGGAGAAGTCTGTAGCCCTGGTTGATCTTTACGAATCTATTGATACTTTTCCCACTATAACGCATAATGATAGGGTTCTTTTCACTGTCGTAGTCAGTTTATCCATGGAGGGGGGGGGGAGTATAAAAAATTTTATGGGGACGTCGCCCCCAAACTCTCTTTCCTCCGGCCTTCGGCCGGGTCCCTAAAAAATATTATATAATATTAATTTTTCAGTAGTATCCTTATATCATCTTTGTTAAAGTTGGCTGAACAATTGGAAATAATAAATCTAAAAACCAATATTTTGTGCTTTATTAGTGTCTATCCACTTAAATAGCCAGCATAAATGATAAAATATTAACAAAATTTTGGCCAAATTTATGATTAATAGGTGATTGAAAGCATTATTCAAATATAATTTAACAATTATTAATACAAATGATCCTATTATCAAAATACTCTTATTGCAAATGCAATACTTTTATCAAAAATAGTATAATGTAAAAAATATATAAATGACTAAGAATTTATTATAATTAAGTTTTGCATATAAAAATTTTATGACTAAGAACATATTATAATCATTTATGATTTAAATTATAGAGAGGGATCTACTTTCATCTGAGATTTGGTTAAATCTAGAATCAAATTTTTATCAAGAATAATCTCCTTATAAATATTTAATAGGGTTAATCCATTTAAACGGATTTCCGGTGCTATTTCTTAAATAGGTTTTTGACCTTTTCATAGTTGAAAAAGACCTTTCATAAATGCATGTACTAATCGGTAAGGTAGCCTAAATAAAAAAAACAATGTTATGTTATGTAATTAGGCAGGGAATCTAAAGTGCAATTACACATGGAAAAGGCTTGCAAAGCATTTTTTGCTCTCAAAGAGTACTCTCTTCTGTCAAGATTTTTATACCAAAATTTGATCACATAGTAACTTATCATACGATCTTGATAATTCATCAGAGTAAAACTCTGAGATTTTCTTAACAATTCAGACTCAACCGGCAAAAGAAAATAAAAGCTTGCTGTTTATTTTTATCAAATTAAACGATTTTTCTTTTAATTAAAAATTATAAAAAATTAATTAAAATTTTTAAAACAGTCTAATTTGTTTAACATTATAAATTATATTAATAAATTTATAATTGTTTTTCAAAAAATATATTTCGAGATATGCAGATCATATTTTAGATAAAAAAATGAATTAATATATCATTTTTTTAAACATTACTTTAAATAGAATAATATTCTTTCATAATTTTAAAAGCTTAATCATGGATTAAAATATAAGTAGGGCTGTCCGATATTAAATATCGGATCGGATTGGCACCATATTTAGCATTTCCCAAAAATATCTGATCGGGCCGATACCTGTAAAAAATTGATCCGATCTTTTTACTTTTCTTCTTTTTGTTATTTTATGTTATGTATTTTTATTTTACGTTATTATAATATTTTCTAAATAATTTTTTTTTAAACAAAGCAAATGCACAACACCCTCTAAATTTTATTTCTTTTTTAAAATAGATTTATAGTATTTTAAAACTTTTTTTATAAAAATAAAAAGGAACACCCAAAGTTTTATTTATTTTAAATCTTTTTAAATAATAACGCCAATTTTATTATTTATACTTTAAATAAAAGAATTTTTTTAAATATGGTATCTGAATTATGTAAATATTTTACAAAAGGTAAAGATAATTTTTCAAAATTCGCTATCTGCGGAATCATATGAGTCTGCCTTCACGGCAGGGGATATAGATAGTCCATATCGTAGAAGCTTATTGCCAGAAAATCTAGAGGCTCTCATATTTATTAAAAAAATCTAATATATTATAATTTTATATATTAAATTTTACAATTAATTCATACCAACATAAAATGGATATATTATCAAATATATGTTTTTTTAATTATAGTCTTAAGTAGAAATAAAGAAATTAAATTAAATCCATAATTTGATTTTTTGCATAAAAAATATTGATTTCTTAATTACATATGGTTCAAAGAGGGGTGGTGAAAAATCAATATTATCGGATCGGTATCAGTATCGGATCGGGTATGAAGCAATATCGAATCGGATCGGTGAAAAATATGTGGATCGGCACAGCCCTAAATATAAGCAATTAAATTATACTACAGTATTAGGCTGAAAACCAACATTAAAAACCCAAGATTAACAAAATATTGGTTTTGGTTCAAAGTATTATATTGAGTTTTTTAAACAAATCTTCTATTTCTTGTTATTGTTATTGGTTTGACTATAATTGTTAATAAATTTAAAGAATAATTAAAACTTTGTTTAAATAATATATATATTTGGAATAGTGGCGTAGCCAGGATTTATTCAAAAATAAAATTTTACAGAGAATTTCATTATAGATTTTATTTATTATTAAAATACTATATTTAACATCCCATTATTTAACCAGCTGTGTTGAGCACTAAGCGCTCTTGTTTGTCTGATAAAAATTTTGAAATCAATTGTTGCTAAAAATAAATAAAAAATTGATACATAAAGATGTTATCTTATAATATATTATTTTTGTATAATTTTATTTTGTTATATATTGTTGGAAAAAAATAAATATTATTTTTGAATATATTTAATTTTTTCAAGTAACGAGTAGCCCATTAAATTTTTGAAAAGGTAACGAGTAACGGTAACGCGTTTTTTTTATCAGATGTAACGAGTAACGGTAACGCGTTTCTTTTTTGTAGTAACTTTTAAATCACTAATTTTTTTAAATATATAATATTTTGATAATATTTTTATTGGTATAATTTTAAAAAAAATGATAAAACACTAAAATATTAAAACAACTATATAAAAATTTGTCAAAATATATAAAATTACTAAATAAAAATATATATTAATAGTATCGAGGGCTCTAAAAACAGCTTAATTTAATAATGAAAATGTACCTAAAAAACATGTATAATTGTGTTTAAAAATTTCCAATTGAAGTTTTTGTTTAAGAAATAAGGATTCGCGATTTTCGTTTATATGCTAAAAAATTTTGGTGATAAAGTTTTTAAAAAAATATATATAGACTGTGAAAAATTGCCGTTAGTTGAAATGACTATTGGCTGTTTAGTTTTGAATATTTATTATTAATTTTTTTATTTTCCCCATAAGTAAGAGGGTTGTATTATATTAAGTGATGAAGGAAAGGATGATACGCAGGTTGCATCCAAAATAAGGGATTTCCCATTGGACCAGGGGGCGCAGGTTAAGGTTCAAGGATGTTGGGTATTTTAGCCTTATTAAAAGCGTTATGTATGATTTTATTAATTGCTTTATGCCGGAGATGGCGTCCTTGGCTGCGGGTGCAGTTTAGACCGTGTCTGGCGTTAGTTTGAACGGGTAGGCTGCATTGGTGGCAAGAGTGTGAACGTGTAAGCGAGCATCCAAGTCTAAAGCCTATAGTAATTCTCAGTTGGTCATTGGTTAAGAGATTATCTAAGGTTTGGCTTGGAACTGCTTCGAGCCATTCATGCCCACCGTATTTATCGTTGTTTTGTAATAGTTGTATATCGCTGATTTCGGTAGGGTTAAGACTATTTTGTAATTTTTTTATAAGGGATTCGATGATAGATTTGTTAGAGATTTCGGTAGGAAATGTATAACCGCCTGGGGTTAGGAGATTCCATCTTTCCATCGCTGCTGAAAGAAGATCATCATGGGGAGTTATGAATGATGAGATCGCAGAATTGAGCGATAGGCGATTTGATATAAATAGAGAAAGGGAAACTAGTTCTAAGGGGATCAAGTCGATACAACCTAGTTTAGCGGGTAATGGGGCTAGGTGCCACTTAAAGTCTGATAATGAAAGGTTAAGGATTTTTTTCTATAAAGGTCTTTAAGCAAATATTGTGTTGAATGAAAAATTTTGAGGAGGTGAATGAGGAGGATGAGTGGAAGAGTTGTGAGATTTTGGGAAGATATAAACACTTTTTAATAAGTAAAAAAAGCTGGTGCGATGGAATGTGGTTGATAAACTTTTCCAAGTTTTGCATCTCAGAAAAAATTTTATCGATAATTTTTTCGGATACATTATTAATAAGTAATGGGGAGCCCAAGAGTTGAATATCTTCTTTTTCGATAATAGTGTATATAAATCTAAGGGAATCTCGGAGTTGAGGAAGCAAATTTCAGTTTTCGTTTTATTTAATTCTAAACCTATTTTAGAGCATTCTCTTTCGAGGTAGTTAAGGGCTTTGCTTATTTGATGTGGATTACCGCAAAGGGTGCCATCATCAAGGTACCATAGGTTTAGGTCGAGATCAAAATGAATAGATCTTTTATCATATTATGGATAGCTATGCAGAAATAATAGGGCCTGAGGGTCGCCCTGTTGTACTCCCTCTTCAGAGAACGTTACCATTAAAAATGAGGTGCTATTGTTATAGCAGATGTCTATGAAGCGCGAGTATTGGCGGAAATTATCGAAAAAAGATTCGAGTGCCGAGGAACGTGAAATTGTATTGAAAGCATTCTTAAAATCGATTTTACATAAAATGAAGTTTATTGGTGGATGTTGGAGGTAGATTCGTAGGCAGTGAGAGCCTATATATGCCTCCTTTAGTTCCGCATCCTAATTGGTATTTGCCAAGCAGGTAATGAGTATCGGATTTTATTTTTTTTGCTATAATTTTAGCTATCAGGCGCCTGAAAAATGAACCGATTGCGATTGGGCGAATGCCACCATTAGGTTTTTCATAAGCAATCAAGTTAGCTGCAAATATAATTTGATGAGCTAATGTGGGAATATCTTTAGTAGTTATATTATTAAGGAAGGTGGTAAGTGAGTTAAAAAAATTATTGGAATTATGAGATTTTAAAAATGTTTGGAAGTAAGAAGGTCTATGGCCATCCGGGCCAGCTGCTGAAAATTTATTAAATTTACTTATTGTATCGCGAATATCTTGGTTTGTAATTATGAATGGAGGGATATTGAGTAGTGGGTTTGGTAAGCCAGTATAAGAGGCACGTGGATGAAGGGATTTTAGGTTGTTAAGGGTCACGTCGTTAGATGGGGTGAGTTTTTTTTGTGAAGAGATTAATTTTTGTTCAACACATATGTCACCTATTTTTTGAAAATTTTGTTGCAGGTATTACTGAAACTTTCATTAGAATTATTGGGATTTTTAACGTATTCTAATAGTGTTAAATTTTCCAAATTTTTGAGTCTGTCTTTCATTAGGTTAGTTAGTGAGATAGATTTGTTATCTTTTGGGATTGAGAGGCATTTGAAAGGGAATGTGAAGAGATTATTCCAATGATTTAAATTTGACAAATCTTTGTTAATATTATCAAATAATTTAGTAAGATGGTCATTGATTTGGTAATTGACACTAGATGGGATGTGTTTTATTGTTGGTATTTTTTTAATAAAGATAAATTCTTCTAGTGAGTTATTTACTTGTTTGTGTTTGGTATTGATTGGGGGTTCTATTAGTTTTGCGCAAAGTGTATTAGAACCTGAGCAAGGGAGGGCTGGAGGGCCATGTTTATATAGATGGTCATCTTTTATATTAATAAATTTGTTACAGGTTGGGCAGATTCCTTTCATGCTAATGATGAGAAGGTGGTTTAATACCTGAGAAGTTTGTTACTTTGAGTCTAAGGCAAGAACATTTTAGTTGGGTTATTTGCTGGCATGTTGGTATATAAGGGTTTTGATGTAGATGGAATCAGAATAATTAATTTATATAGTGCATATGAATGTTGTATTTTTACTTCCAAGATAATGTGTTCTTAGTAGTTACAATTGAAAGTGAGCTTGTTATAAACTCTGAAGTTATAGGTTCAGGTGGTATAGGAGAAATTATTTTTCAATCCTTAATATAAGTATTGTCAAAATTTGTTCTGAGATGAGTTAGCGTATTTTGGAAATTGGTTGTTTTAAATAGTTTTTAACTGATTAATTTATATTTTGAGCTTAAATACAAAAAACAGCTGACATTTTTAACCGAACATCGTACATATTATTTTATTTCCATTTATAAATAGAATATTAATCGCAATAAAAAAAAATTCAGAGTTTATGAGGGGGGGGGGGAGGGGGGAAGGATTTCAATCCCAACCCCCCCCCCCTCTACGCCATTGGGTTTTTTATATAATTAGCATCTTTTAATTTTTTTTAAAATATTTTTTCATTTTTTAGGGAAACTTGTTTATTGTTTTTTATGGTTGTTAAAAGTGTTATAAGGAACTAAGTTATCAAGATTTTGGATTATTTCATTTTTAAAGAGTAAATATCTATAAAAATATATAGTGTTTTTAGATTCATACTGTCATTTTTCAAGCACATAGTTTTGCAATATTATAGTGAATATTTTCTATATCATAGGGTTTTTTTTTCAAAAACATTATACCATTTTCAAAATGATAGTGACTTTTTTTGAAAGAAAAAATATTTTTAACCATGCAGTGTCCTAATTTTATTTTTTATAATTTTAATAAAAAATTAAGCTAGAATATTCATTCAATATTTGAGAGGCCCTGTTTTAACCAATTAATGTTATTCCTAATTCATTTTAAGTACTAATGTTAAATTCAAATTTTTTGAAAAATACACATATAAATCAAGAATGTGATGATAATAAAATGAGCGACGAAGATTTGATCTTAGCACGAAGAGTAGCGAACAAATGGAAGGGTCATCAGTTTACTTCTTTAAGGGTATATATAAAAAATATTAACATAACTATATTTTTTTACACACCATAACATTATTTAGATATGGTTTTTTTTAATTAAAAAAGAATATGAAAGCTTTAATTTTTTTTAATGAGCTTTTAGGTCATTATAGTATAATCTTCATTAAAATAATAGTTTAGAAAAGGTTTAAAGGTCTCGAAGATGTCTCAAATCAGTATAATTTATTTATAAGGTCCTCTTAATTTACCACCTGCAATAAGAGGATTTATAAATTAACAATCAATCTTCTTCTCCGTTTTATGGCGATTTCCAGGTTTAGCCAGGTAGGCCAGTTTTCCCTCTGATTTTTCTTTTCCATTTCTGACTGTCATGAGCATCAATATTTGCTAGGGTTAACCTATTGCCAATATCCAGACCACCATTTTCTACGTTATCATTATTATATACCCATTTTATTCACGTTCTACATATAAACGTCATTCTTGCTAACATAAAACTTCCTTTTTTCCCGCTACATCTATTATGTACCCATTTCTGGCATCTGCATTGGATTGAATTTCTAGAAACTCCCTCCCACATATACCACAAGGCCACTTACCAGATTCCTCCATCTTTTGATTTTCTCCACCAATCATCACCTTTGCTTTGCTGCATTCATTTTCAGGTCCTTTGCTTCCAGAGCCATCTTCCATTTACTAATTTTATCCCTCAATTTTTCCCTACTGTTTGCCATTAATACAAGGTCATCTGCATATAATAGCTCCCAGCGAAGTCCTTCACGCATTTCTCTAGCCATCACATCCCTTACTAAGATAAATAATAATGACTCAGCACTGATCGTTGATGAAGTCATACCTTTACTTCAAAGCTTTCACTATCTCCATTGTAGGTACTGCAGTTTCTGCACCCACATACATTGCCATCACTGACATAACCAACCATTCCTCCATACCTGATTTTCTAAAGGTTCATCTAGTAACCTCGCGCGGCATCCTGTCAAATGCCTTCTCCAAATCAACAAACGCATAATAAGTTACTCTTACTTCGCAAGATACTTATCCTGTATTTGTCACACCACAAAAATAGCATGTTTCTACAAAAATTGCATGTTTCGTGCCTTTCCCCTATGTAAAACGTAAAACCATACTGCATTTCATTAATATTTTTTGTTCCCTTATCCGCTTCTCTAACACCCTCTCAAATACCTTCATAGCATCTTTCGAGAGTTTAATAGCTTTGTAAGACCCGCAATCTAAAGGATCATCTTTTCCCCTATATACTGGGATAATTATCTTCACCAGTCCTCGGGGATAGTTCCTTCTTTGACAATTTGATTGGCCTAATTTATTAACCAAATCCCTACAGAACCTTTAAACATCTCTGATACCATCCTCGTTAAAGCCCATGCCTTCCCTATTTTCATCTTTTCCACTGCTCTCTTTATTTCGTTTTTGCCAAATTTATACCCGGGACCTTCTACCTTTGCACAACTAACGTCAGTATGCCATTCATTTTCTTCGTTCAAAAGTATTTCCATGTATGTTCTTATTACCACTACTATCATTTACCATTTTTCCTTCCATATTTTTCAAACATTTAACACCTAACCACATCCTGCCTCTTTTTTGCCATCTGCTTTGTCATTCGAACCATATCCCATTCCTTCAGCGCATTCCATTTCTTTAGCAAACTCCTGCCTTTCTTCTTCTTGCGCTTTCACTATTAATTTCTTAGCATTTCTTTTCACTATCGTTATCATTATTTTATTTACTATTATACCATTCTTTAAAGTACTTCCGTTTATCGTCCACAGCTTTGCTACCTCAGAGTTTCACCACCAAGTCCCCTTATGTCTAGGCGGCCATTTTGTTCATCCACATACCTCCTCCAGTTGTCATCATCCAGGCTTTCTTCATGGCTTCCCAAGTGTCATTTACCCCAGATGCCTGTGCCACCTTCGCCTCCCATATCGCCAAGACGTCTAGCACTCTCCCCCTTCAATTTCAAATCTTCAGCCTTGGCACAAACTTTCTTTTAGTGATTCCCGCGCCTTTAAAAGTGAAATCTCCTATAACTAGTCGATGCTGATATTAATACATTCCTCTCCCGGTATTACTTTCACATTTTTTACTATACTTCTATCACATCTCCTTAATAGCAAGTAATCCACTGCACTTTTGGTACTACCCTACTTATAAGTCACCAGCTTCTCTGATTATTTTTTAAACATTGTATTACAGGCAATCATATCCATAGCATCACTAAAATCTAAAATCCTCTCCCCTTCCAAATTTCTCATGCCTTAACTGAAACCTCCATGTACTCCTTCATAACCCTCACTATTCGTTCATACGTGTCTATTCAGATCACCAGCCAGGATAATCCCCTCTCATTTGCCAGTCTCGATGTCGCCCCCAATAGACTGTATATATCTTTTTCTTCTTCACTTCTACCAACCTAAGGAACATATGGCGAGATATTATTATATAGCTTTCTATCAAAAATCATCTTCATAACCATTATATGGTTATCTAGCCTTCTCACTTCGACTACTTTGTCCACCAATTTATCCGTAACCAATACCCCAACTCCAGCCTCATTATTATTTCCTCGCCAAAAGAATCTATACTTTTCACTAGTCTGCCAATCATTCTTACGCCATTACTTTTCCATCTGGTCTTCTTACAGCACACATCTATGCCTTCTATGCAATACATCGACCACTTCACCCGATCTTCCCGTCATACTTCCAACATTCCATGTCGCGACCCTTTCTCTATCCCCCGTAAACTGGTTTCTCTACTTATTATCAGGTCGTTTATGGCCGTCATAAGTTTCATTTTCACGAATCGTGGTTCCACCAGATTTCCCATCCTTTTTTGCCAAAGGCGGATGAGTAGGCCCACGGACTACTTTGGAATGTACCCCGCCCATGCTTTGTGTGATTATTATAAGATTTTATAGCAAGATTTTTACAATCGGATGCCCTTCCTGACATCAACTCTTTTAAGTGGTTTTTACACCCGTCGAGGTGACGGTGATCCTATTCTAGACTTAGATCACAGGGAACCTTTTAGACTTCAATTAGCCGTCTAAATACGTTGCCACTCCCTCGCCACGATGAGAGTGAAGATAGGATTTTGGGAAAGAATATGAACTATCAATGTAAAGTAAAAACTAATATTTTTACGGGTGGTTTTTTTAAAAAAAATAGCACGATTAGGATCTTAGCCAAAATAATATTATGTAAGACTTGAGAATTGACAAATAGATGTCAAGCTATTCTGTTATCTATGAGCAAAATCTCTAGGCTTCCATATAATTATTTTGGTTATTATCTTAATTGGACTTTAAAAATCGACCCAAATCGGGCTTTTAACAACAAAAACATTATTTCAAATATATTATACCATTTTCATAATACCGAAAAACTGCCTTTAAAAAAGGGAAAACTTGATTAGACCTGAACTTCCAAGAAATGGTGGAATCAAGTAATATAGATAAAAGCCAATCTTAGAGGGAATAACTAATCTCTTTGAATAAAATTGACTAAAAAGAGCTTATAAATTCGAAAGTATAATTATCTGTGATTTATGCTTTATTAACAATATTGTAAAACCTCAAAACTATTTTAACCTTCCTAGTAGTTCATCAATCAAAAAAGATGTTATTTTACGCAAAGGAATAGAATACGTGACTCGAAATTAATTTTTACTTCATTTAACTTCAAAATAAAGTCTCCAATTTATATTTTTAATTAAAAATTTAGATAGGTCTATGCCCTAAAATAAAAACGGACGCCTAAAATAAATAATAATTTTAAGCTGGCTTAATAACTCAATAAAGATTTAGAACCAGGCCGGGGCTTGGTGCCAAAAAAAAATTGAATTTGCAGGGCTTTAATGAAGAAGTTATAAAAATATCGTCCTTGTACAATGGTGGATATGCAGATAATATTAAAGAGATGATGTAATAATAAAAATGCATTAGAGACTTCTCAATCAAATTATTACTGTGAGGAACCCCCTTTATCATTTTCTCCTAAAGTTAATTTACTCTATTCCACTCTAAAATAATTAGGATCAAGCAAAGAGTGACAACAAATAAATTTTAATCTTATGAAATTTTTAAATATAAATTTATGCGATGATCTAGTAGATCAATAAAAAAAATTTAAATATGGTAACGAATTGTACTATAAGCTCCTAAAATCTCATTTAAGAAATAAATCCTTCTTTTTTTCAAAATTTTAAATATGTCATGAGAAATTGCAGGTGATCGTTTATCGACTGAGTGGTATTATTAGTTTATTTATAATTATAAAAGTCTATAACATTTCTCAATTATTTTAATAGGATGATCTATGGGGAAATGCTATATACCTGAAGGAAGCCAACGCCATAAGCGTTGAACTCAAGAAAAAAGTTAATTTAGATTACTTTATTAATACAAAACAATTTTTTTTTCGTAAAAAAAATCTTTAGTTTCTTTCGTGAGAAAATTCTTTATCTTCTAATAAAACCGAAAATAAGATTAAAAATTAATATCTGATGGTGAGGGTTAGAGGTATGGATTATTTTTTTCCTAGAAAGTAGGAAATTGAGTCAAACCTCCAACTTAATATTACCACAGAATAATAATTAATTAATTATTTTTTTAACCTAATTATTGTCTCTTTTAACAACATAATTTGTTTCTTTTAATAATAAAATAATTGATAGTATGAAGGGCAAAAGCGTTTTCAAGGCCGGGTTAAATTTAATACGAGCACTCTATATCTCTTTTTATGCATGATGTTTTTTGACCAAGCCAAAAATGACTCTTTAGCACACCTAATTAAAAAAAAATATGAACCCCATTCTCATTAATTATTAAAATGAAAAAATGCTCCAATTATAAAATTTTAACAAAAAAAGAAGAAGAGAACTCACATTTGTCTAAAATGATCATTTATATATTATATTATTTCATAAAATATTATAAAGGTTCAATTTCAATTCGTTTTATTGACCGACACCCCTTATTCGCCGCTTGCTAAGGAACTTAGACCGAAATATCCTAATGACAATAATGGCATTTGCGTTAAACAAAATTTTACTGTTGTGGCAGTTGAAGTTAAGGATTTCAAAAATGGTGCTAACCATTACTGGTCATTGGATAAATTGAAGTATAAACTTTATTTCTTTTTTTTTTTAAATTTTATTATTCTTTTTTTCTCTTCCTCCCTTCCTTCCTTCCTTCAATAATCTTAATTTATTAATTGTATCATTTAAAAATTTAAAATTTTGTACACTTCATTTCCCATATAAATAAACAAATTCAACGATATTATTCTTTCTAAAATATCATTGCCACATCGTTCTAAAAAGATACTCTTCAAAAATTTATAGAAAGCTTTTTTTTAAGAATATTTGCGATTACAAAGTATATTTCTAAGAATGGTAATTGATAATACCCATTTATTTATTCCTTAAATTCAAGATTTTTCATAGCCATATATAATTTAAGATCAAGTATTTGGTTTACAGTTATAAACACATTCGTTATATTTTTTTTTCCTTTTCAAATTTTATTTTTATAAAAAATTATTACTATCTGCCACATTATAGAACGAAGTTAACATTCATGAAAAATCTTTTCTCGAAACGCAATTATGTCGAACTCTGCCAAAGCTGTCCTTATTTTTCTCAAGTGAATTCTAACCAAAATTCTTTATCTGGGCTAAAACCCTTATTGTCACATTCTGCGAATGAAATCAAAACTTTCCAAAAGGAATCTACCATATCGAAAGTTTGCCTGAATAGTTATACCATTAATGGAACTGAATTTTTTAATCTTCTGGCCACTACCCTTTGCTTCAAAAATTATATAAAATATGGAATAGAGACTGCCGAAGATTCTCTTCTTAGGTCCCCATTCTCGTCTTCCAGTAAATCAATGGAAAAGCCTAAGAAGTTTTTTTCTGTATTTTTTTGTCACGTAAATTTGCTCCCCGCCGCTTTAATCCCCCCCCCCCCCGCATATGCTTTGCTTTATCGTTTTTCAATTTAATCATTGAGAATCTGTATTTATGGAGCATTAATATATCTATAAGATGTAGAGAGCTTTGCTATAGTCGTTTTCCTTTGTTTTCTTTTTGATAAAATGAATAATGATAATTGTTGCCGAATGTAGCATTATATCATTAACGTGAATTGATTTGATTTGCTTTTGAGAAATGGATCAATTTATCCAAAAAATATTTCAAATATTTAACTTCTTTCTTCTTCCTTTTTTTTGTGACAATATTTTTTTATTTTTAATTATTAAAAATCTAAGAAAAGATTTATGGTTAGAAATATTGCCTTGATTGTGAATCATTTTAAAAATTCATGTTTTTCTTTTTAATTTAATTAGTAACTTTCTAAAGTTAATTAGTGTTCTCTGATTATGAAAACAAAACAATTTTTTATGAATATTCAGAAACTGAAGATTTTTATTCAGTTACTAGATTACCGAATCAAATTTATTCGTTCTTTGTGTGATATTATATTATTTTTTTGATATCTGCTTATGACTTACTTAGAAACTAATTGGATTAAGGGGGACTACTTAATTGATATAAAGATATGCAGCTCGGATGACCAAGTATTGCTTAGATAACTTTCGATTGAATCCCATATGTTTATTTCCCAAACTAAATATGGTCTTACCTCGCAAGGGTTATAGTCTATATGAAATAACTAGGATTAGAATATTTTTTTTGTTTTATTCATCTGAACTAGATATAAAGTAGACTGATCTGATTGATAACTTGCTAAATTTATTTCCTAATAAATTAATTAAAATTATATTATTTTATTGAATAAAAATTAAAACGGGGAAAAAAATGTTTACCGGCAAATTAAAATATTTAAAAGAAATGTTTATACTGACAAATCTATTAAAATACTTTAAAAAAAGAAATAATTTTTATACTGAACTATATGATACTGATATTTAATTGTAGCTTACAATTTTATTATTTACTTCAATTTAAAGACAAAGGTTAGAACTAATGCGAGAAATATATAGAGACAGTTGCGACAGTCACATCATCACAGAAGATGGTTCATCTTCAAAAAGCTCTTCACCCGAAATTCTAACCAATTTTGAAACTAAGATGAATGTTGGAGACCCCTTTTACGATAGATTTTCTTGGTTTCGATTGATAGGAAGGTTTGAATTTTACAAATTTATACATAATAGCATTATTAAAATAAGATTTGGAAATTTGAAATTATTAGAGGCCAATTTTTTTTACTTGATAATAACTCGAATTACAAATTTTTAGCAATTTAATGAAACCTTTAAGAGAATCATTTATTTTAGAATGTTGAAAAATCGGTTAGATTTTGAAAAAGTGAGGGTGATATAAGAGACTCCCTAGTTACATTTTTTCAAAAAAATTAACTATATCTAGACTATCTGCATTTTTTAGAATGCAACCACAAAAGTAACAGGTTACTTTGCAAGTTAATTTTTAAGATAAAAATATTTAAATATCGGATAACCCAAATAAACGTCGCGTTTTGAAATCATAAAATGTATGGACATTAATATCCTCAATTTTTTTAGAATTTTATCAAGTCATTTGATTGAAAATTGAGATCAAAAATACTAAAATTTGATATAAAATAACTCAAGACCCTCAATTTTTTTTTTCAAAAATGGGAAGGGTTCCCATTATGTTAGACTATAACGGACGCTTGCCTTTTTTAATAAAATTTTCCCTAATCATAAATTATAACGTGAGACATAGCCATATTTGTTTGAAATCTTTATTTAAACACAATTATATAATTATTTATCTCTCCTTTTTTTGAATAACAATTAAAAATATCTTCTTCTAAAGATTGAAAGCCAATTTGTTTTTCTTTCTTTCGAAATTAAGGACGACATTTCGCGAACTTTTTTAATTTTGTCTAAAAATCCAAAAGATCATAGCTATTTTTTTAAACTAAAGTCTTTAGTTTGTTTCACATATGATGATCCAATAGATTTATCGCGTTTGAGGGACAATTAAACAGATTTTGTAAATCGTAGGGTATTAACAGGCAAAAATTTCTATGTGAATAAGATGCAATGCGAGAAAGCATTGTCTTCTATAAAGATCATTTTTTTAATATACCAATAAGGTGTGGGCAATGATAAAAATTCTTTCAGGTGATTGAATATAAAGGATTAAAAAAAAACTTTTATTGGAATTAGATCTTATTTTGATAACTTTAACAGGAACCCATCTAGCCCACTTTAAAAAAAAATATTTTTATTAGTTATTTTTTATCATATTTTGCCATTTTTTATCTATGCGACGTTTTTTGTCTCGGGCCTATCTCATTCACTATCTTTATATGATGATTTCTCAAAACTAAGAATACTGTTTATCAAATATATTGTCACATTTACATCAAACGCTCTTGTAGAAAGTTTGATTATCAAATTTCTTTCAATGCAAATTAATATTATGTAATTATTTCTTTATTTAAATTGTATTTTCATGATTCCTTTGATTAAAATTTGTATTTAAAAAATTAGTTTTTTCCAGTCATAGGCTACTTTTTTGAATATTTACTGATATAATATGTTATGATGTATAAAAATTATAGTTAAGGCATGATAAAAGACTCAGGTCTTAAAAATAGTCTGCTGTGTAATAATTTTTAACAATGATTGATACCAGTCACAATGAAGAACACTAATTAATTATAAGTATTTTATTTTGATTTTTTTTAAACTTCAGGTGTTTTGTATACTTGTCCAATCTTTCTATCGGATCTAAGCAGGTGAACAAGGCGGCCATTGTGGATGAAAAGGGTGATATCAAAGGTTACCTCCATGTGGATATCAGCCCGGCTTTAAGTTTTTTTATTATCTAATTTCTTCATTTTAATATTCATATTTTTGTTAAAATTTTGAGATAAGGAGGAAATTATTTTCACGGGGAAAGATATTTGGGTGTAAAATAATTGAAAGTTTTTCTCATTTCTAATTTATTTTTAAACAATTGGTAAAAAATGCTTTAAAAAATTAGACGATGAAAAGATATCAGCACAGCATAACGGTATAAAACAATCGGCACGCGTTTCATTTAATGATTGTCCGCCACTCAATTCAAATGAACTCACCAAAGATTGCAAACAACATATTTGTTCCGAATACTTGCCTTCGAACTACTTGGCTAGCCTCAAGATTGACCAGAATTGTTCTAATCAAGTTTTTTTTTTCTTCTATAAATCATTTGTGCTTATAAATTTAGTTAATTTTTATATTAAGTTAGGGAAATATATTAATAGTCCACATATTTATCATGACTCCCATTACTATAACCATTTTTTGAAATGAAAAAACATAATGTCTACACTATTAAGAGATAAATTAAAAGGAAAATCGATCATTTCTTGTATCAGGCATCTATTTATTATTTTTTACATATAAAATAAAAGCGAATCAATAATACGTTGTAAAAAAATATATTTTGTTTCCGATCCATAATTAATTTATTGTATGTATTCGTGTCTACTGGTAGAAAGGTAGCAACAATCCAATAACAATGCGTCGTGCTTTTAACGATTCGGCATGCTGCAATCATTCAAGCGCTTGTCGTAACTGTCAATCATCGTCGCATCCTATCGCAACGCATTCTTATTGCACCTGTCATTTCGGAGGAACGGATTTGCGTCATTTAGACATGGATGATAAAGATTTCGAACGAGCCGAGGATATAAGCGAGAGAGTTGTGGAAGGGCGATGCGAGACGCGTGTGGCATATCCCGGCATCGAGGATGTCAATCATTTCTCGGGTAAATATATAAATATAGGAAAGAAATGAGAGAAAGAAGAAAAGAAAGAAGTAATAGTATTTACAAACTGGAAAGTTTTCGTAATTGCAATATTTTTCAAGCATTTAACGTTATCGTCCATATTGGTGTTTTATTATGAGGTCGCAAAATAGTTTTGCTTTTTTATTTAAAAATGCCACAATGGGATAGACTTACAACACCAATTTAAACAACGAATCATTTATGGAAAAACGTAACGCTAAACGCTTCTGCTCATTTCGTAGGCACCATAAGTATAAGTAAGTATTAAAGGTAATAACATTGGGTGGTATCAATAAGGTTATTAATATTAATTGAAATTTTAGTTTATGTAACTTTCATGATGTCTCTTTTTACATAAAAATATTTGGAAAAAAGACAAAAGATTGGAGGAAATAGATTCCAATGAAAGGATGAATCAAAATTATCTAAACGGGAGGGAATATTCTGACAATGAAGATGACGACATGTCGATCAAGTCATACGCCCCTTCTATTTATTCATCCCATTCTTCTTGCAATTTAATCATTGAAAAGTAATTACAAAAAATTTTTTTTCTTAGCCTTAAATTGCCTCATAACGCACTCTAGAAAATTACTTAATAAACTGATTTGAAATAAGGTTGCCATGGGAAAATGAATTTGGCGGTCCTTTAAAAATCCTAATCTATCTTAACTTTAAAAAATTCACTAAATAACGAACTAAATTTCGTCATTTTTAAATGAGATTCAAAGCATCATGAATTAGGTAATATTTATGCGAATTATAGTAAAACAAATATATATAATTTGTTGATTACTTAATTAGATTTTATTTAGCATAATTTTTGTAATATTTACTTGTTTATATTACAATTTACTTTTAAATTCATAAAAAACAAAATTTGGAGGCCTCAAAAAATTTCTAATTTTAGAGGTCCAGGGTCTCTTTCCTGTCCGCTACTCTATTTGCACAGGCCTAAAAAATTGAACTATCTAATAAAACTCATGTTTTTATAAAATTTTCTTCTTTTTTTGAAGCCTTATGATTTATTGATATAATATTTTGTATATTATATTGAATATGACAGAAGATTCAAAAATGAGGTTGAAAGAGATGGCATGGAAACGGTTGGTGTTTCTTCCAATTCTTCCGATTCCGATTTCGGCTCTGAGAACGAAAATAATTACAACAAACATTCGAGTAAAATTCTTTACTTTTTCCTTTATTTTCTTTGCTACTCTCTTTTCTTCGCCTTTCTTACTTTTTTTCCTGGGTTGAAAACAAAATATTATAATTAAATCATACTTCAAAGTTTTATATTTATACCAATAAAAATAGATCTCCTTTATAATAACATTTTTACACCCAAATAAACATGACTAGTAACTAATAAATAAAAAAACGCTTCTTATCTTATATGACTAGTGTATAAATAATTTTCATGTAAAAGCTTTATACGTAACCTTCCGAGTCCGATTCGAATCGGTTAGCATTTTGTGGGTCTTAGTCAGGTAGGGTTTTAATAATTATATTTAGGCCCGACTTCGATCTTGCCTAGGTTTAATTATTTTGTTTTTATGATGCTTTTATAAATAATCCTTTTAATAAAAACAAAGTTTTTCACTTTTCTCTATAGCTTGCAATTTATTTTTCATCTTTACTTGAAGAATCGTATTTTTTCCCCAGTCCGATGCAATATCCTGATACGTATTAATAAAAAGTTTTTTCCAGTTAATAAAATTTAAAAAAAAATAGAAATCTAGTTATAAAACTTGAGCTTAGGCGTCCTTATCCCATCTCATTTAGGCGTGATATAGAATTCATTTATTTTATAGAGGCGTGCTAAAAAATGATTTGCATTAATATTTAAAAAAATATTTTAGACCCACTCATATTTTTTGGCCTACTGACCAAATTTCTCCTTTTTCCACCGACGTCACTTGAAATTTATATATTTTTTTAACTTAATTTATTCCTTAATATGTCATTGATAAAAATTATTAATTGTTGAAAAAAATACTATTTGCCATTATAAACAACCTACAGATTTGTTAATGGATCGAATCAAAAGATCGACGATCCTGGATTCGATCCTAAATTTGTCAATTTTCCCGGATTTATGATCCTTACTTAAATTGAGGATCGTGATCGAGATCATTTTGTTTAATATTCGATCCCGATGCTTTTAAAAATTAATTTTTTTAACTTAAAAAAGCAATAAATAAAATAAAAATTTTGAAAATTAAATTAAAATATTATTATTTTTAAACTATCTATCATTTTTTATCAACTTCCATTCCCCCATATTTTATATTTCAATTTCCTAATTTTATCTAGAACATTTACGAGATTTAGAGCCTATATTATATATAATATAAATTAATTCTAGGTTTTATTAATGCCCATTATAGATTTAGAAGATAATACATCTACTAACGATGTGATAGCAGATATAAGTGAGAATGTGAATCTTTTACCATTTAATGAATGTATGGATGAAATAGATGCCTTTTTGGGGAAAAATTCTTCACAAAATGCTCGTTCAAATTTTTTTTATTCAAATGATGATTCAATAATATTTGTAATTACTTATGTTAATTTATAAAAAAATATTTATTAAATATAACATACCTTTGCCATCAAGCGCTCCTGTGGAGCGCTTGTTTAGTAAAGCTAAACATGTGCTTAATGAAAGACGTGGATGTTTAAATGATAATAAATTAGAAAAAATTTTATTAATAAAGGTTAATTTTAATTATAAATAAATATATTCTAATTGTTATACTTATATTATATTATTCAATTACAATAAATTTATACCATATTTAATTTATTTTTATATTAGTTAATTTTATATCGATCAGAAATTTTCAGAAATTTAAATAAGAAAAGAATCGTGATCCTTTTTTTAAAAAAATGTCGATTCTGGGTTTCGATCTCCTTTTTGAAAAGATCGGGAACGGGATTCGATCATTTTAAAAGGATCGATTAACAAACCTGACAACCTATATGCATACATGCCAATGGCATCACTAGTCTTTTTTACAATCTCAGGGGCTCAAAAATTAAAAAAAAATTTTATAATTTCAAAATGACCATTTTTAACTAATAACTTTGAAGTGACTTTTTTTAAAGGTATTTTTAAAGAAAATTCAAAATTTTTAGTCCCCCCAGTAACGCTACTGCTATATACTTATCTTTTTATATTAACAAACGCAAGAAGAATTTGATCAGAAAGATTCCGAAAACTTTGTTAATTCGGAAAATATTCGCACTAGCAAAAACTTTGGCCGGCCATGTTGCAAATCTAATCGAGGATTTTGTAATAATAAAATGCTCAACAAAGCTAAAGAAATACCCAGAGTTAATAAAGATTTTACTTTTCGAGTGGCACTAATGGCTGTCGCCGATATAAGCAGCCACTACGCCGACATTTTTTGCCAATTCAAGTTTTTTTTACCTTTGAATTTATATATCTTTAGTCGATACTTTTAATTTAAACAAATCAAATCTTATATAGAATTTTAACTCTATTTAAAAATAATTATAAAACTTCCCTCTTAATAGATCTCTTTTTAATATTAATTTTCACCATGAACACTTATCTTAATTTGTAAATATTTGATGACATTAGCCAAGAACTAAATAAATTTAAAGAATAAAAAATATAATGTTCTCAATCATATCTCTTTTTATTTTTAATTCATAGCAATCTTAATAAAATCCCTTCTTTTTAATTCGTTTTTTAGCTTTTTGCATAAACAGGAAGAGTCTTTCTCGACTGAACCCTTCAAAAACAACAACCTTCCTTTTTCATTTCATCGCAAAATGCCAGAATTTTATCACGTGCAATATGTAAGTGTAGATGACCTCGAATAAATCTGCTTTCTTTTCTGGATTAATATTTGATACAATTATTTCAAGTTTTAATTTTAACATTTGAGTGAAAATAAATATCAAATAAATAAAACTGATAGAATCGGATATACTATCATAGTATGGTTTGTGTTAAAACACACTAAGATTTTCTTTATAAAAATGATAAAACCTAAGTTATATTTTGCTAATATTATTCTATAAAAATTAATTAATCATCAATAAAATTTATTATTCTATAATCCATATCTTCGAAATTTTTATTCAACATTTTTCTTTTTAATAGATTACGGTTAAGGTAACTGATTATTTCATGCAATACATATCCGAAAAGCCTATCGTGTTCGAGGTCTTCGGACATTTGACTAATAAAGAACAACTTTTCAAATTTTCTTCTCCAGATGATAACAATTGGTAAAAGAAAGTTGAGTTCAGTCTGTTTAATAAAAAAAACGCCCCTATTAATTTGGAAAACTTTAAATTAATAGATTTTAACTTACAGTTCTATAGATATAATTAATTTAGTGACCATTTTTTTAGCCTATTTAAATTAATATCCTTTTTAACGCATTTGGGATCAACTTTTCACAGTTATGCCTCTTTTTTCATAAAATAAGATTGAATCTTCTTTTTATCAATAAAATTATAATATTAAATTTACTTGTGCAAACTTCAAATCCAAGCGTCATAATTGGGTGGAAACTTTTTTTATCCACTTGGACAGTCCATATTAATATATTTCAATATAACCCAAACATTAGATCAGCTAATCGAGCTATAGACTTAAAAATAGTTTTAACAATTGGATCACAAACCCAACATTTTAGAATTCTGTCTCATTAACCCCTTAACAATAAAGTCGGGCCCTCATTCATTAACTTTACACGCATATTCTTTAAATTTTATATGTGAATAAATAGGCAAAAACAATTGATTCCTCGCAGATTTTTGCCTTACAACTATCTTCCCATATCGAGACCGGTGCCATCGCCTAAAATACGTTGTGACGAGGCTAAAGCTCACATTTTCAACGACAATATAAATAATATTAGCACCGCCAATATGGGGTAATTTATTTATTCATTATAATATATATCACTTTATCTAATCTATATATAAGCAATATCTGTTTTTTTTAAACATCATCTCTCGATTATAATGCTCCGTCTCCATCTAGGTGTCAAGTGTGTTGAGAAGGTCAAATTATTAAGCTGATTTCTAATTTTGTATATAATATAACTTATAATATAAATATTATAGTTTCGAAACTGTGATTTATAAATCGGATGTTTTGTTATGGATCGAGATCCTCGAGCTGGCTTCTAATGGGGAGTAAATAATAACTTCATTTCAAAAAATTTATACTATATAATATAAAGTGAAAAATCTACAAAAATAACCTTTCTGTGGTTGTTTTACCCTTTAATTATATTAACAATAAAAAAAGGTATATACCGGCTCCATTTCAGCCTTGCGATACTTCATCGCTCAACTGCTCACCGTTGACTCAGCCAAGTTATAGAGGAAGATTTTGTTTGCAACAAGGCATACAGCGCAGGCTAGCCTTCACCCTTATTCAGCAACATTATTCTTCGCCATCACTCAGCGACACTCCTCAAAAAGTGATATCGATTTTTATATTTTTTATTAATGTTAGAAGCCATAGAAAAGAAATAAATTAAACGAAAGAAGTAGAGAAATTATGAAATCTTTATGTTTGAAAAACAAAAATTTATGAAAATAGGATTGCACTAACGCGATTTCTGGAAATTTGTATAAGAAGTCAACTAATGGAGAAAAATTAGACGATGATTTCATAATTTTAAACGGGTTGAATTGGGACGGGGTCAGGGAACTTGTGGTGGGAAGACTTAGAAACAGTCCTTACTATTCTTACTCATCTCCTGATAACTCGCAAGCTAATTTTGCTGGTATCCATCGGTCTTGTCTTAATTGCCGGTCAGATAAAGAGGTTAGCCATACATATTGACGCTTTGATTATATAGAGTATGTCAATAGTCAAAAAAAATTTTCAAAAATAAAATGATTCTCGCATTTCGACATTATGCGTCCAAACTCGATTTGGTAAATTCTAATAATAAATTAATATTTTAAAAAATAAAATTTTGACTTTGGACGCACCCATACTGTTTAATTATATTATCACCATTTTGATCTATCTAAAGATTTCTTTCGTCAATATATATTCGAAAAACTTTGAAAAACTAATCTTTTATAATAAAAATTTTAAAATGTTCATTAGGGCAAGTTTAAAAAAATTTTGAAAAAACATTCATAATATTATTCATATAGTCTATTAAGGATATTCAAAAAATTGGCAAAGAAATAGTGATTAGCAATTACGCAAGGTGGAATAAATATAATAATATTAATTATTTTTAGGGAGAAGTAAGGAATGAAGGATCTTAATAAGAAAAGGAATATGCTAGATATTTTGGGATTATTATTTTGATTATATTGTTCAAAGGTTAGCGAATTTTCCACGACCACTGAAAAATGTGTTTGCGTCGGTCATTTTTGCGATATCATCAATCATTCTGTTCATTCGGATGATATTCTGTCGCTTAATGTGTTGTCCTCCAATTACTTATACCATGAAGGAGACGATAGGTTTTTAAAATATTAATTTACATTATAAATAATTGATTTGCGCCTAACCTAAAAATATTTAAATGTAGATTTTATTTTTTATAAATGAAGTAAATATTTAAAATATATATTTTTATGTATACCTTGAATATAGAAACATTTTTTTTTATGAATTATTCATTAAAAGGTGTAATTTTAATAATACATTTAGGCCATGTAATATCCTCATAAATTATAAATTAATTAAAAAATATATATAAAGGTCTTTCTTTTATTTCGAGGCAGCTTGGGATAGTTCTCTGCACAACTCTCCTTTACTTAACAGAGTGACTCCCGGAGGAGAAACAATATACATGACAATTTCAGCATATATAGACGTATATATACTTTTTAAATTTAAAATATATACGAATTTTTATAAATATGAAAAAATATATTTAACTTTACGACATAGCTGTTTATTTCTTAATCCTTATAAAAGGAGCGGTTTACATGTTGATATGTACAATAAATCTGCAAATCAGGTCTGTCTGGTTTCGGCTTATTAAGAATTTTTGTACAAGATGTGAGGCTTGGCCCGTTAAAATTTTACAAAAAGTCCGCCTTGCCCGTTAAATTTTTTTTGTACTAATTTTCGGGTCATCATATTTAATATCTATATTTAATTTTCTCCCAATGTCAATTAAGGTCCTATCTCTCCTCTATTGCTATCTTTTCTACAATAACCATTTTATAAATGATTTGTGTTTGATATTTGCATTTTTAATTGGATCTCATTAATTACTTTTAATTTTTTTGTAATTTATATAAATTATGGATTTAGTAGTTTATTTTAGTTAGACCCCTCTTAAATTCAAAGAAAATTGTAATTTATTTTCAAATAGTATTAATAAAAATCAAAATATTAGTTTGAAGTTTATAATAATATATCAAAATTACCTGGCATGGCCTTGACTTTGCAAATCTTTGATGTAACCTTATGTTATATATTATATACAATATTAATCATTCAAATTAATTTTAAATATATAATCTATCATTTTAAAAGTCATTTCTATCATTTCCATAATGTTTTACTACATTTTTGTACAAATCAAATAGCGATTCAAATCGTTATTTACATTGAAAAATATGCATCCCTATTTGTTACAGTTGTCATGTATGCAGAATCATAAGAATATGCTATTCTAAGTTTTTAGTACAATTCTTATTGAGAAATTATAGAGGACAATAATCAGGTTATATTTGCCAGGCAAAATTTTAATTATAACCCTTTATTTTTTTCAAGTTACTATTCAATTTCTCATATATTTTTCTAAAACCAAGTATGCTATTACCAGGTCAAAATATAATATTGTACACATATATTATATAAATTATATATATAAATGACCCAGATCGAAAATTTGGGAGAACCCGTATGCCTTACCAAGGACATAGCCCTGGTGATCCAAAAAAGGGGCAGCACCCATGGCTCCCTTAAAAGCATGCTCTCTTCCATCTCCACCAGCCTATCCTCTCATCATAACAATTTATTGAACAATATTCCTACCATTCAAAGCCGTTCTTCGGGGATCAATGTTGAGTTGAACAATCACGTGACTCCCTGTACTCAAATTTATCTTCCCAATTTAGTAGGAGGCAATAATTGCTCTTCGCTTAATAGGTTGGCATGCGTGTACGAACTCAAGATGATCCGTAATAGGGACGGCGCTCAAAGCCCAGGTAAAAAAATATATATAACAGTTTAAATCAGAGACCTGCAGGCCCGGCCAGCGTACCCAGGCAGGGCCGTATTTTAATTTTTTAAATATACCAGGGTCGGGCCTAAAAAAAAATTTTAAATACCCAGGCCGGCCCGAATATTTTAAAACCAAATATTTTAAATCGGCATTATTAACTATGAAAATTAAAAATAAATATAATATATTTTAAAAATATCCGGATCAGGCCTAAAAATATAGTCCATTTTTTTAAAAAAAAAATCCGGGTTGGGCCGTGTTTTTGATTGCTTTAATTTATTTATTAAAAATATTATACTCATTTAAAACCCTCCATTTTGTTTGTATATATTATCTAAGATAATGTTTAAATGTTTTATATAACATTTATAATTTTAAGGAGGGCAAAGAAGGAGGAGAAGAGTATTAGATACATCTTCAACATATGTGCGAGGGGAGGAAAATTTAGAAGGCTGGAGACCTCGAAGTGATTCCTTAATCTTTCAACACCAATGGGAATTAGAGAAATTGGCCAGACTGGAAACAGTTTCGTTTAAAAAAACTTATATTTTAAAAATTAAATTATTAAAATTTTCTTTTCACCTGAAAGAAAGAGGTTTTCTTTACACCTGAAATAAAAATGTAAAGTTTTCAATTACAAATTAATTATTTAAGGTTGAAAAGACTCGACATAAATTAATTGTATCTAAAACCGAGAACAATACTAATAGTCCTGTGGCCCAAGAGGAAAAAGACCAAATTAATGTTATAACAAAGGACTCAGAGAATATTAATAGGAAAATTGAAAAATGTGAATGTTCCTTTACTGACAAGCCGAAAAATAATTGTATCGAATTGCCGAATTTTGAAAGTACCATAGATAGAACCAAATACTTCTTAGAATTATGGATGAAACCTGCCCTTCCTGTTAACAAGGAGACGCCCTTACATATTATTCGAGCTAAGAAAACATACGATGGAGCTCTCATCATAGGTAATAAAGAGGATAATGATGTGGTTGAAGTTGCGGCTGACTATATTGAGGTCAAAGGTGATGAGACAGATATTTGTTTATCCATGGATTATGGTCGAGAGAACGAAAAAGTAAAAATTTAATTTGAGGTTACATTCAGGGGGGGGGGATATGTTTAGTTACAAGATTTTATATTACATAAATAATCTATTTGATGAAAATAAAACACCTAGCTAAAGATAGAAAAATTAATGATTTAATTCCAAATTAAATATAATAAGACTTTAATGAAAAGTTATTATCCCTCTCTCATTTATAGGTACATGTAAATATTAACAATTTTATTATTCTTTAAAGATAACGAAGAATTTATCCTCTTTCTACTCACCGACAACGTCAATCAACTCTTCAGTCATGACTTCTGACTCTGACTACGCGACACTTAGCCATGATAGCAATTTTTATTACAATACACATAATACTAACACCAATATTTCTAATCATAACCAAAATTTAGTTTTAAATAAAACTAATGATTGCCTTCTGGGCGATGAACAAAAAATATCTAGGTATAATAAAAATTATTTTTCAGAAATTATTGTATTTAATTTATCCAATTCAATCCCTTTTAAACCTAACTAATATCTTTTTCAGAAAATTATTGGATTTTATTTATCCAATTAAATTATGGCAATCCATTTTAACCCTAATTAATATCTTTTTCTATAAATTTTTTCTTAGTATATGACTCGTTTGAACTCTGCAAAATTGTTGAATGTCAAAGGAATTTAAGGAACAAATGGAATGAGTAAAAATATTTCGTGGTTGGGTTGGAATTAAGTTAAATTTATGAAATAAAGTTTGAAAAATTATGCATTTATCGGAAAAATGTTTGATAATAAAGAATAAAATATCCTCGCCCATATAATACTTTTTAAACCCATTTTATATAATCAATTAGTTTTTAAAAATAAAATAATAAATACATAAAAAGTGGCTATATTATCTTGAATGTCAAAGGATCAAAAAAAGTCTTTTAAAGTTTTAACTACAATTTGTTTTTCAGTTTTAATTTAATTTCAATTTTGAAAATAATTCTTTTCATAAAATTTGTAGTCAAAACCGGTCAATAAAGTCTAAAAGATCCGTGTTTATAAGCAAAACCGAAGGGTGATTTGATCAAAACTTTGGGCCGAATTAATATAACCGATCTAAATCGTACTTTTGATCTTGCTACACTACTATAAGTTATGTGTAACTATTTTTATAACAATTTAAACGAAGTCTTAACCAACCGAATTTAAGCAAACATTCGCTCTCGCCTTTAACCATTAACAGCTTGGCTAAAATGAACGAAAATAAAACGCAAAATAATGAAAATAATTGCAAATATTTGGCTTTCGATACTTGCTCACCAGTCTTGGAGGAGATAAGACTGAGCCCTATAGTCAGCAAAAAGGGTTATCTCCGATTCTACGATCAAAGAAGCAATACTTGGATCCGTAAATGGATGGTAATCTCATATTTTTGTTCGCCTTTATTTCTTTCTTGTAATTATAACGTAAGATTGATTTATAAGATAAAATGGCTTTTAAAAATTATACAAATTAATAAATAATTTGAAAAAAATCAATCCATATTATTAAAGCATAGAGTTGGCCAATAAAAATCAAATTTAAATCACCTCGATTTTTAAAAAAAAATTAGTGATTTAAATCAATATTTTTAATAAAATTCTATTTACTAAATTCGATCAAAATGCTTAATATAAGAAATCACAATGACTTAGATTATTTTAGAATTGAATAATTTTTATATAAAAAATATACAGAATTGTACTAGTAATCATTACTTATTAGAAAAAAAATCCTGATTTATTTTGTATTTCATTGTTTATGACATAATTAATTATTACTTGTATAATTTTAATCTTAATGTAGTGAGAAATTATTTAACATTCTAAAACAAATTTAGTTTGTTAAATTCAGGACTGTGAACCCTCTCTAAAAAAGGGTTCTAGCTCAGTGAAATATTTCAGAACCCCGTTTGGGTTCAGGGTTTATAGTTCAGAAAAATTAATACTTATAAAATTTAGTAAAAATAATGGAAACATCAGTTTATTTTAAAAATTTATTTTTAGCATTTAACATTAAGGAATTATTATATCTTCCAAAATCTAGATATTAAAGATCAATTTTGTATGTTTAACTTTGACAGTGCATTGCAACTTTTATGTACTCGACATTAGTATTTGAATTTAAATTGGTATTGTTTTGTTGAGACTGTGCTATGAAGAATGTTATGAAGTTGTTTATTGAACGATGATAATTTTGATGAAACACTCGATATAAACCATGAAACAACTCAATACACACGATAGGTTTATTGAAACAAATCAAAAAACCAAATTGATGTCAAAATACAAAATAATATGTTGCTTATATAATAAAATATTTAATTTAAACTTTTACCGAAGGTAAAGAAAAAATTACCTTTCAAAGTAAATTGAAACTTGTATAATTGTTTTTTGAATGTCATTAACAATTAACTAATAGTTTAAAACAAGAAGAAAAACAATTAAAATGACTTCTTAACAATTGGAAACTAGTTTTCCTAAACAATTCCTAAGTTTGGAATGTAGTCTATATGATGAAAATATTCTACTGAAGCTGCTGATTATTTTACTATGAATTAAATGGACTTGCTAACCACCATTCATTTTTATATTTCATCTGAAAGCATTAATTTTATTAAACGAGTCAGATGTAGCTTGGAATTTTGCCATGATTGGTAGATATGAGATTTGTTGAAGATATAAATAAGCCACGTCATTGTCACTTCTGTTTCATTGTTTGTTAAATTTGAAACATATTTGGAAGTTAGAAGAGAGGATAAGAAATGTGTCGTTGAAAGTACTATAATAATGTTGATTTCCAGATTTGGTGGATTATAAAAACAATCATATAATAATAAACAAATAGTAAATTAATCTAATTTAGATATAATTAATCTCTTTTTTTTTATTTTGTCAAATATCTTAAAAATAATTAGATTGCTTATTTGATGAATATTTTGTTATAAACATTAATTTATCCTCAGAAAAAGAGTTAATTAAACCATATTTATCATAATATAATTTAAAAACTAGCCTCTATCAGAAAAAGCGAGGAGAGGGAGAGATGCATCAAGACACCCAATTGGAAATTAACAGTAGCTAAAATTAAGAATAAAGCCATCATTAATTTAGTCAAAAAAATAAAATTTTAAATTAGATTTAAAAGATTTATTTGAGGATATTTATAATAGTATTCGTTTTAGAAAATGAAAGATTTTCTTCCCTGCTCACTGATATCGACTAGTTAAAACTTTTTTTTAAAGTTTGCACATATAATATCAAATTTTTGATTGACAGTCAACTTTTTATTTGACAAAATATCAAATTAGCTCATGACTTATCAATATATATTTTTTCAATAATTTCCTGAACAGATCTCCTGAAGCATTAACATTTTACTTATAGAAAATATTATATGGTAAAAAAAAAATTATGATGTATATTTAATCTAAATCTGTAACTTATCGAATTGAAATATTAGTATTTGGTTTAAATGGCGACTTAAATCAAAAACATCGCGATAATTTTACCAACCATACTAAAACATCTTATTCATTTAGAATAATTTACATATTTTATAGTAATAGCATATTTTATTTTTCATTAAGATGGTAAAAATATTTTAATTCAATTTTTGTAATTTTCTTGATAATTATATGATTGATGTATAATTGAGATTATTTTATTTACAGATTAAAATCAATATTCGTTGGATTTTATTTTTAGAATATTTATCCTAATTTATAGTATTCTAACAAACTCAATTTCGCCTAAGATTTTGATAAATACAAATTATCAAGACGATTTTCCATTCTTTGTATTGTTGATATTTTGCTCGAGATTACCATAAACTTAAGCCAATTTTCTATGATTTTTAGTATTGTGATTATAAAAATAGTATATAACCTCTAGTCTGATAATAATCTTTAAACTTTTGACTGCATTATGCTATTATTTTTTATTAAATGATGTTCTCTGCATCTGAGTAGATATAAAATTAGGCTCTTTAAATCTGATGAAAATTTAGTTTCAACTAACAATGAACTAAATACCTTTAAATAACTTAAATACTTCTAATTAGCAAATATTTTGACGCAATATATTATTCATAAATCTATATATGAAATAATAATTTAATTTTATGTTTCAATTTAGGTTATAAGGAGACCCTATGCCTTTATCTACAATAACGAAAAGGACACGGTAGAAAAGTGCATTATTAATCTATCTTGCTCTCATGTTCAATATAACGAGGAATCCGATGTTATGGTACATGGAAACAAGTTCAATTTAGTCAAAGTAAGATGTATTATTTATATTTTCTGAAAGGCAAAAAATAATATTGGTTTACATGTTTACAAACTTTTAATCAACATAGTACTTCTAAATTGAGCTGTAGTGATTTTTAAAAAATGTGTACCCTTGTTTATTAGGCGGAATTTTTAAAATACACCTTAAATAATCTTTAAAATTGTTAGATTAAACATTTATTTGTAAAATTTACTTTCATAATAGAATTTGTTCCATATAGTTACTCAATGCAGAAAAATCACAAATGTTTAATATACTTTTAAGTCTTTTTTACACAACAGAATAGCGCTAAATTGAACGATACCATTTGAAATATCTTTTAACATAACAATAAAATAGCTTAATTTGGAAGCTCTATATCGATTAAAAATCTTAAATTAAATAAATGAAGACAGTAAAGAAAACGAATAGTTATTATTTTTAAAATTATAATTCTTATTTAAGCTACCCAACTCCATAGCATTATGTACGAAATATTGCGGTTTTTTAATCCAACCCATCACGGAGAAGGATATTTTCGATTGGCTCTACGCAATCAATCCACTTCTGGCTGGATCTATAAGGTTTATGCTCTATTATTGGTTCATTTTTTATCTCCCTAACATAATGGATTTTAAAAGAAATGTTATTTGTTTTTTTAACGATTCATCAATTTAATTCAAAATTCTTTATAATTTATGATTAACTCGATCAAAATTAAATCTTTTTGAATTTATGAAATCATAAATTCTCCGGAACAGGTCGGCAATAGGACTGATTTTTGAGAAAATTCTATTAGTTGTTTTTCATAATAATTTTTAAAATATATATTGTTTCAACAAATTTAGATCACAATTAGCCAGAAGTATGTCTTAACTGCTTAAATATTAGTCTATTCACGATTCAATTTAGCCTTGATAAATTCTACATCTAGAAGCACTTATTTTCAGATACTTTTTTAAAATAGTTTAATACTAAGTCAATTTATTCTGAAATATATTATATTTATAGAATAGTCGATTTTTATTTTTCCAAATATAAACGCTTTATTTTTTTGCTTTTGTAAACTATCATTTTATTTTTTTAAAAAAATATATTATTTTCTATCAGTAGAATTAAATTGTATTACATCTTTTAAGTAAATTAGCATTTTTTTCCTCGCCTTAGGGTTTAAAATACTTATAAATAAAAAAGTTCAATAGTAAAAAGAGGAATATAAAATATGGTATAATTCAAAGTTTGATTTAATAAATCTTTCTCTTTGACAAGTTACGAAGATACTATTCTCGATGATGGGAAATACTACTTTATATTTATCAATGAAAGCATATTAGTCTCATCGATTTCCTCAATTAATTACTTATATATTTATTATCAGCTATAAATATTTGTCGACGCTTCGTGGAATTTATAATCATATTATACATTTATTTATTACATTTCAGTATATAAATTATATATTCTCTTTTTTTTAAAATAACTTTATTGTACTTTTTTAGTCATAATAAAGAGGATTCATATAAATGTCATGTTAATTGATAAAAATTTCAATCGTCAATATTGACAAAAAATTATATATATATTTTGTTCATAAAAAATTTGGAAAATATAAAATATTTTATAATAAGATCGGAAAATAGTATTTTAACTTAATTGTCCCTTGTTTAAGTAATCAGTAAGAATTAAGTCATATCACGAATTCTTATATCTTTAAATACAAAACAAAATAATATTTTTAAGAGTATTTGTATCCAAAATCTCTTTACAATGTAATTAAGTTAAAATACGATTAGTCACTTAATATGAATGATTAATAATATATAAAACTCATAGATATTTTACAATCTTGTATAAAATTATATATCAAAAAAGGATAATATATAATAAATTAAATTACAAGTTTATTCTGTCATATACATACAAGGAAAGAGTCCCCATTTCCTTGATGAAATACATTAATATATAAATTTCATTTTTTTGAATTTTAAAAAATGGGTTTAAAATAAAAATAAACATTTTCTAATATAAAAAATCTATATAAAAGAAAATGAATAAAACAGAAAAATGGAATGGAATAGATATTTTAAACTGGGATCATTATCACTTAAAAATAAAATTTAATATAGCTAAGCTGAATTCCTTTCAATGCGAATATGTTTTGTTATCCAAACCATAATCCCTGCCCCAAAGAGCGGCAGAAAATAAAGGCTTACTAAACCCTAATGGAGCCTCAATAGTATTTTTATGAGTAAAATTCCACTGAGACTTATCTGGCAAATAAGCCCCATCCACAAGTACTATAGGAAAAACGTATGTTTGATTATCATCCTTAATAAATTTATCAGCTTTCTTTGGAAATCTTTCGGACTTTTCGCTATATTCAGTACTAAAATTACCTGTAAGCTTGAAGTAAGAGAAAGTGTGAGTAGCATCGCGTCCAAAATTGCCGCAATAATGTAAATCGGATGTAGGGCATTGGTTGAAAGCGCAAATTTTCATGAACCAATTCACGTATTCCCTGTGAAGCATGTTGTAAACTACCAGGAGCATGACGCCACTTTTAGTCTTATAATATTAAATAAAAGAGAAAGAAAATAGATTTTTTTGTCAAAATATAATTAATATATTTGTATTTGTAAGAAAAAAAATAAACGTTGTTTCAAAGAATTTCATACATTGCTAATAACCTTATGAGTGAAGTTACTGGGTTTGGCGAATTTGTAAGTCATGTGACAGCACAAATTTCCCATGCATTTAGAGGCTTTCTTGACGACCTCATAATCGTTCTTGTTGGATGGCGGGTAAATGACGACGTAATTGACGTGCTCGGGCTCAGGTAACATGCCGAAAATTTTATCCAGTTCGTCACGTGGACTGGATTGGGAAAATCGTGTAGGACCGAAAACCTTGACCTTAAGATCGTCGATTACAGCATTGGAGGTAATGGTAATTTCTAAATTATTTGTTTTTTCCCCTTAACAAAAAAAAGGGTGCAATAACGATAATTTGCTACTGACCTCATAATTTATGAATATCTCCTAACAATTTTTGTATCATTTTGGAACCACCAATTTAATATCAAATAAGAAATAACGGCTCAAGCATTAACCCGATTAAATTGCAGCAACCTTTATAACTTACAATATGCATATACAAATAATCCTCGTGGAGTTATATATTGTAATATTAAATTAATTTTTCCTGTTATAGTATTTATCAAAGATTTATAAAATATGCTTTATAAAATGTTAGGCTTAATATTTAAATAGAAAATAAGTTTTCATCAGGTTCAAAAACAATAATCCTTCCTACTTATAGATCTTGGAAAATCAGACTTCTTTAGATAATCACTATATAAGCCTTCTATCTCAGATAACTGATCCGCCAGAGTTTTAAGATGATTATATATTCTATATATAACTACCTTAGCTCACCTAAACCATTAACTATACCAAAAAAATTTTCTTAAACTTAAAAAAGGTAATGTAAATTTTAATCGCTTTCACCAATTGAGAGAATTTTTGATATATATTACAGGTATTTAAAAAAATAATTTCCAATTTTCATAGGGAGATAAATGAATATCAAAATTAGTTAATCCACGTTTTATTTTATTAATATTTAATTTATCACAGGGATCCGAAACGAATATCAGCTCTGTTCAGGTTCGGATAAAAATAACAGATGCCGGTTCAGCAATTGGAATAAATCACAATTGTAACAAACATCCAATTAAATTTAAATTTAACGAGGAAAAAATTAATTCTCATTTTGTGAATGAATAAACTTTAAAAATATATTTCATATTAGTTGAGTTTCCAACTTTCATGTATATAACAATAACAAACATAATTTAAAAAACGAAAATGTTAATGTAAAAATAATCGGTTATGGACAATCGGGAAATTTATGATTAAAATGTAAATAGAATAATAATAATTTTTAAATACTTTCCTGAATGTTTTCTTCCAGTTTTTCATGCCTCGAATGTGGTGTTTTTATTTCATCTTCTGTTGAAAAATTTCTTCCCAATTGAGATAAGGTTTTCAAATCGACATAAACAGGCGAAAAGAGCTTTTTGTTGGAAGTCAGTTGGGAACTGTTCCCAGGTGTGCAAGGCAATTCCGAAATTAACAGATGACCCCCATGTATATTAGCTTAAATAGATTTTTGTAATAATAAAATATATGTTAAAAAATGTTAAATCCAAATATAAATTAATAAAATAAGGCAATATTGAAGTTTATTAGAGCTGTGCCGATCCCCACATTTTCCAAATTCGACCCGATATTTCTAAAAACCGATCTAATATTTATATTAATTTTTATTTACCTTTTTACGAATGTCATTAATATTTTTAAAAAACCAACTAACTTACAAAAATGATTAAGTGTATTTTTTTATTCTCCAAAAGTCAGTAATCTCACTTAAAATATTTGCAATTATGGGTGAATGTACAGCTCCATTTAGTCGATTTTTAAAAGGGACTAAATAATTTAGCCAAAATATTATTACCTAAGCCTCGAAATTTTGCTAATAGAAGTCCAAACCTTTCTGCCCTCTGTAAGAAATAAGCTTGAGTAATTTACTTATGCCAAAACCTGGAGTTAACCTTTTTTTAAATTAAATCGAATCGTTTAGCCGAACTAAATGTGACTCGTTAGATATTTCAAAATCCTTTTCATATTGCAGATAAACCAAAAATAGTGTAAAATTTTTAACTTTGTTTTTAAACTTTATAACAAATAAATTGTATTTGGTTCCTTTCATTAATTTATTATTAATAAATTATTTATAAAATAAAAAAAATTATATAATTATATATAAACAATCATAAAATAACCCAAAACAATAAAAATATCAGATCGGTTTTTAATAAATATCGGCCTGATCCAATGTTTTAGAAAACGGTGCCGATCCATCGGATATTAAATATCCACACAGTCCTAAACTTTATAGAAACTTAAATATCATCCTTTTTAACTTAAGTTAGGAATTTTTTAAATTGATAAATTTAAACCATGAATCCGGAACAAGGGTATTTTGGGTTCCTCCTCCTTTCAAGTTGCGGCCAAAAAATATTATTTTAATTATAATATCTAATTTTATCACTTTTTGTTAAATAATATTTATTTAATAAATTAAATCATTTTCTCATTTTATTATTTATTTTTAAGTTGGCGTGAGTAAAAATTTGAGAATAGCTTTGTAGTTTAATATAAGTTTAAGTAGTATTAAGACAAACAGCTCGTCATTGATAACTAAGCCAACCACTCTTTGCCGAGCTATTTGTTAGCTATATCTAGAAATATGTGTAATATATATACTCCTACCACGGGAGAGAGATATGATGCAAGACCATAAATGAAATAAAATAGAGGTGAGAGGGGAGTGGGTGTAGGAGTCATTTTATTTTGCTCGTTTTGATTTCTTTTTTTACTAATTCATTTAGATGGAAGGGTGGGGGAGGGGTGGAATTCAATATTAATTAGATTAAAAAGGTGCATTATGATTTAAAAAAAAGGTATTATGTGACTAAAAAAGCTAAACATAGTTTCATACTTATTTTTAGGAAGGTTCTGGTAAAATTCCAGATAAACCACCGTTTGCTCCCACAATTTTTTCCCATCCTTTCCAAGTCCCTGGTTTAAACTTTAGCTGCTAATTGCTATAAGACAAGAGACTGCACATAATGTCTGAGTAAAAAATGGGGGCATTTTAAAATTTTATATAAAGTTTTAACTATAATCGTAGATGTAATCAAGAGCTCCTAAGTCGCCAGAATATATACCGCTGCCTCGTGCTCCATATTTAGCTTGGTCACGGGTATTAGCCGCTAAGAAGTTGACTCCCATGCGAATAGCGTAAGATGACTGGACACCATTAGCTGTTAGAAAAGGCACCAGGTCAGGCCAGCTAGTAGGAAAAACCATGTTTTTCAATCCATTTTTAACCTTGTTTTTTTAAAAAAAGCTATAAAACAAAACGGAATCAAAATAAGATTACAACAATTTTTAAAAATATAGGACAATTAGACATCCAGAAACAAGAACTAGGCAAGATGAGATGGTGTTTAAAAGCAATATAGGAGTACGACAGGATCAATTAAAACCAAGTTTGACAGTCATTAACATGAGATGTCAAGGATGAAAATTTAGGAGAAAACTACCAAGACAGTCAAGGTAACACATGACAATTGAAAGAAGGATATGTTGAGATTTTATAACCTCACATAGTATATATTTTAGTTGTTTTTATACTGCTATTTAAATTGACACTGTTAATAGGATAATAATTTTGTCTTGATATTTAAATTTTGTTTCAAATCAATATTGTTAATATGATCATATAATTAGAATGTAAATTTATTACAAAAAGATATATCAGAGACTTGTAGGCCCAGTTAGCCCTAAGCCTGGATATACGAGCCAGACCATATTATAATTCTTTTTAAATATTACCCAAATAGGGGAAAAAAAATTTTTTAAAATAATCCGGGCCAGAATGTGTCTGAAATATAAAACCCGGGCTGTGCCAGAAAAATTTGTAAAAAAAATCTGCACCAGCCTGACTGAAATTTGTTTTTAAATCCTGCCCAGGCCGTGCAAATGGTACCTCTGCAGGTCTTTGATATATAAAAAAATGTTTAAAAAATAAAGTTCCTAAGGTTTACACCAATTGAAATATAAAAAATAATTTCAAAATATGGCCCTACTATTAAGATGAATCTATAGAAAATTATAGAAGATTGAAGCAGGCACATTGGGGGTGGGGGATTCCTATTTCAAATTTGCCATTTCTTGTAAATATCTTTCTAATAAAAAAAATTCCCCCCTACACCCCCACCCTTCTCAACCCAAAAAATGTATACAGTATTTCACTATAAGGAAGAATTTGGAAGAATAATTAGTAAGAAGTTAATAACTTATTTAAATAATGACTATAAAATTTTTAGAAAACAGAGCATTTTTATAAAAAAGTGAAGACCCAAAAATTATTTTTATAAAATTCTAATGGTCCACATCGAAAGATGTTCGATAAAATTTATGGGGAAAACCTAACCTAATAGTGCCCTTCCCCCTTAGCAAATTTTCTCTAATTCTATTTATAAAAAAGTTGAGTCTCATCAGACTGGGTGACTTTTAACACCCAACCAAGGCAGAAATAAGGCAAAAAAGAGTTTTCAGAATTCTATTTCGATTAAATGATAAAATATAGTTACACCATTGATAATACCAACATAAAATTTGTCAGCCAAGTAGTGATTAAAATAAATTATAATATTTTATTCATATAATTTACCATACCACAATATCAATAGCAGGATTTTTCCAATTTATATCAAAACATGTGAAGATTCCAAAGAGGCCTGCAAAATCAGTATTAAATGTGATTAATTCACATTTATCTGGATAATCATAATTTAATTCATAGCACAAATGACATTTCCTATACTTTGCTATAAGATTTCCATTAGAATCAAATACTATATCAGTATTATATTGTTTGCTATTATTGATATTGTTTGAACTGAAGTAATTTTCTGGAAAGGGTGTGCATATATTAAAATTATAATTTGTTAAGTATGGATTTTTATTTTCTTGGTAAGCTTGGTCATTTTTAGAGAATAACTGAAGCTAATAAAACATAAATTAAAATAAAATTTTGTGGAATTAATTTCCATTTTTTTATGAACTTCTTTAAAATTTGTATTATTTTTAAAAAATTACCTTCAATATCTCTATATTTAAAATATAAATTATTATGTGTACCTCTCCCATGTTGGCTACTATGAATATCTTATTTTTTTTAGCCATGCAGCTTAATGTATGTAGTATGTAATGATTTTTGTTAGAATAATTTTGATTATTACATGGGTTTACATAATTTCTTTCAACAATATCTGGTACAACTTCTACAAATTTTGACATTTCAGATTTTGTATCATAGTAGCCAGTGATCCCATATTCAGGAAAAACTATAATTTTAGCACCCTAAATATATATTTATTTTTTTCAGACAGGCATTATTACTTTTTTAGATGCAATTGCAACTTTATCATCATAAATATCCAAATTCATTTTTATTATATCTTTAGAATTACGCGTTTGTACATTGCCAATAACTTCATGTTCATATATAGCTCCCACATAAGAACAAGCATATGTAAAATAGCTTTTGCCAGAGAATATTAAAATATATATTATAAATTCCATAACTAGAAAATGCCAAAAATCCTTGTTATATAAATTATTTACAATGAATAAAGATTGAGTTCAAACTGACAGATCACGCAATATAAGATAACATATATTAACAGATGTTAAATTCGTGGCATGTTTGATCCTCACTTATTATATTTTCTATTTATAGCAATGATATGCTAGGTATTCCTCATTTCAGTATAATTAGATATTAAGTAAAAGGGTCGGTTTGGCCGAAAATCCAGCTAGGTTTGAGCATAAAAAAATATCCCAAACCCGAGACCACTAATTAATGAATAAATCCTGCTGAGTCGCCTCGCTGGATCATTTAATCCGAGTTAAGAGATTTTATTACTAGAGGCCATAGGCGTAGCCGGGAACGGGTTAATCAAGGGGAAATCCCCCCTCAGAAATTTATCACTTTTTGTGAATTTCATTTTCAGCTAATAAAAAATATCCCCCTTAGTCCTCCCTCCACTCCCTGACCCTCAAAAATGTATGCATATATCTTAAACAATAGTTTGAAAGAAAGAATGTAAAAGTTGATATTTTTTTATAAAACTATTCATCATAATTTATACATTTTTGGAAAAAAGCATTTATATATATAAAAAGTGAACCAAATATGTTTTTTAAGAAATGGAATATAAGCCAAAGATAAGTCTCAAGGCAAAATTGAAATGTATTATAATTAATAATAATAGATCCATAAAATTACTAAATAATATAATATATCAAATATAATTTTTTATAAGCTGAGTAATTTTAATTTATTTATCTTTTAAAAGTAAAATATAATTATAAAACTATTGATAAAATTAAATCATAAATTAAATAAAAAAATTAAAACAAAATACAAACAGTGGAATATTATGTCGTAGATTTACATTATATCTAATTTTATCAATTATCATATAACAATCAAGTAATTTTTACTAATATAGCGAATTATATATTTTACAGAAAAATATAAAATATTGACAAGGACATCAGAAAATATCTTTTAAAGACATTGTGGGATAAATAATATGAAAATTAGTTTTTAATATCATTTATTATTTAAATAAAATAGATGGCGTTAAATAATTGAATGAAAATAGTTGCTATATTTATTATCACGAGCATTGATTAGTAAAATTTATTGAAATATTAATGGTAATTTATTCTTTAACTGTCAAATGTGTCTGTAAAAGTTGAATTTTACCTAGTATTTTGTAACTAATTCTATATAATAGAGGAATATCAACTATATGTCTACTTCGGTTTTATAAATAAATTTCTTATACTTGTTTGGAATAAATTATTACCATGCTTATAAATACATACATTCCGCCCAAAATAAAGTCTGGGGGCGAAGCTCCCAGCAATTTTTTCACACCCCCCCCCCCCCTCTTAAGAAAATTTTGGTTATGCCTATGCTAGAGGCTAATGCCATCGCGTAAAATGTAAAAAAATTAATATTTCCTGTTAGAGCCCAGTAAAAGTTCTTTAATATTAGAAATAAATAATTTTAAAACCATAGGGTCTAATAATATATTGGCAATGCAATTATATTTTATTCCACGAAAAAATATTTTTTTTAAATCTTTGTTTTAAGCCGAGTTAAATGTTTTTGATATTGAAAGATCTAAAACCTTTGTGTTTATTCGTAAAAAAATATTTGCCATTATTTTTTAACTCCATGCGTAATATGTTACAATATAAACAATATATTTATGTTTTGAGCCCAGTAAAAAAAATTTGATATTATGAGAAGTTCTTTGGGTCTAGTAATATATTGGAACTGCCATTATATTTTTTCATGAGTAAAAAATAATGTTAAAATTTTAACTTTGTTTTAAGTCTAGTTAAAAGATTTTGATATTTGAAAGATGTTTTAAAACCTTTGGCTTCATAGAGAAATTTTTAGTGTCATTATTTTTTTGACTCAACGCGTAAAATGTAGAAATATAAAAAAATTATATATATATTATTTGGCCCAGTAAAAAGTTTTGATATTAGAAAGAATTTCTATAACTTTGGATCAATTAATAAATTGGCACTGCCATAATTCTTTACTCTATGAGAGAAACAATATGAAAAATTGTAAAATCTTCGTTTTAAATGTAGTTAAAACTTTTGTTATGAAAGATATTCTATAAATTTGAGTTCATAAAGAAGATTCTGATGCCATTATTTTTTAACCTCACGCTTAAAATATAGAAATACAGAAAAAATTATATGTTTGGTTTTGAGCTTAAAAGGTTTTTGACATAAGAAAGAAGTTATATAATTCTAGAGGCTTTGAAAAAATGTCAATTTTTGGGCTACTCATAAAAATAAATGAATAAATTTATTTTATAATTTATTATGCAAATAAGATTCAATTGACTTTAAAATAACTATTCAAAAAATAGACAGATTTGCGATAATATATGTTATATAATAGGAATTAATAAATTAAAATATTATATATTTTGGTTATTAAATAATAATATATTTAAATTTTATATAACACTCATTCATTAAATTAATTCTGATATATTTAACTTATTCAAATTGTACAAATTATACTTTTATTTTTAGTTTTGCTCTTCGTTTTATAACTTAACCTTTTGATTTTATATTCTAATTTTAGTTTTGTATAAATATATAAATACAAGATTAAAAAGGTAATAAAAGGAGATGAATTATATTTAGAAAAACCAATATTAATTTCCTATCTTTTCATGGTGCCTCGGATGAGGATCGGAAAACCATATTTTGTGAAAAAAATTCTTCAGGTCTTCTTTACCTGGGAATAAAACATATGGTCAAGATAGATAATATTGATATGATTTTAAAAATAATTCTACTCCATTTATGAAAAAAACTTTAGATATGCAATTACCAATAACCAATATGCAACTCAATGTGTTGACCAGGAACCAATATGGAAGTTGAACATTAGGCTATGAATTCTATATTGAAGAAGAGAGCTTTGGTACTAATAAAAAATTGTTCTAAAATGTTCTCTTTATTACTTTTTTTTATCGTTTATATAATATTTTTACAAACTAAAATTAGAATATAAAATTAAAAGGTTAAGTTATAAAACGAAAAGTAAAGCTAAAATAAAAATATAATTTAAATACGTTAAGTGAATACGCGTTACATAATACAATTCATATTAAGATCATTATTCAACATTTTCCTTCTTCTAAAAGAAGCATTCCTATAATTTCATCTAAGCTGTTATAGAGATTTTGTTGTCCAAGTGGTTTATCGTTTTAGTCATCAAGTTGTTTCATAAGTCATCATAATCGTTGGCTTGTCCCAATCGTTCGTTTGTTTAAATCGAGTTTGCACGTTGGTCTGTTTAAATCGTAAGCTTGATATTCTTATCGTAAGTTTGATATCCTTATCATAATTTGTCTTTATAAATCATGATTTCATCATGTTTCATGTAGCTTGCTTGGTAATGCTCAGTCGTTATTATTATCATATTTCAAAATTGTTATTATCATCCGTCAGTCATGAATAATTAGAAATAATAATTGATCAAGTTAGATATAAGAATAAGTGAAGAATGATAAATCAATAAGATTGTTATATAATATTTTTAGCGTTTTCATTTTTGCGTTTTAGTGTAAGCGTTTTAGTATTTTATTTACTTTATGCGTTTTAGTGTAAGCGTTTTAGTATTTTATTTACTTTATGTGTTTTAATATTTAATTTATATTTTTTAAGTTATGTAGTCTTTTAAATAAGCAGGTTTTTGTTTAATACGCATAGGTCTAGAAATCGGTGTTACATTTTTATCAGTAACTTTTATATTTTTGTCCATACTTCTCTCCTTAAAAGAATCCTTATAATTAGAGTCATAATTAATAAGTGAGTTAAAACAATTTCTTATTCTTAATTGATCTAAGTTTCTCCTCAAAATACCTTTATCTGTCTTTATTTGGAACATCATATCACTTTCTTTGTGTGTGACCATGCCTTTACACCATTTGTCATCACCTTGTATTTAGTACCAAACAAAATCTCCTACGTTAAAGGTTCTATTTCGTGGTAAATTAACGTTGATTTTGCTCTTCTTTTCTTCCAACGGTTTTAATAAGTCCCATTTAACTCTAATATCTCGATTGAAAATTCTCTTGGAAGGTGTAACTCCTGTAGTATCATTACGCGTGTTTCTGTAATTAAATAAAAATTTGTAAAGTGCAATGTCTAAGTCACTTTTGATATTCCATTTCATATGTGTTTTGAACGTTTTCACCATGCGTTCTACCTGGCCATTGGATTGCTAGTTATACAGATGTGAGCACATGTTTGATACCATAATCATTGCAAAATTTTTCAAAATCATTACTTGTGAAGTTAGTGCCGTTATCAGTAACTATAGTTTCAGACATTCCATATAGCGAAATTTGAAAATTTCTTTTAAAGTAATATCGGTCGTAATATTTTTAACAGGAACAATAATTGAAAATTTACTGTAGGCATCGACTATTATCAACCAATTTCTTGTGAAGAACGGACCCTCATAATCTATGTGTATCCTTTCAAATGGTTTGGTTGCCGAAACCCATAGTTTTTGTATCTTTTTAGGATTGTCATGATATATGTTACAATCGTCACAACTTTTCACTTCCATATCTATGTCATTATTTATACCAGACCACCAGGTGTAATCTTTGGCTAAGGATTTAATTTTTCCTGCTCCCAAGTGACCTTCATGTAATGATTGTAGTACATTTTTTCTCATAGAAGACGGAATTATGATTATTTGCTTTTGTAAAGACAATCCTTAATTATACTTAATTCCAATTCAATGTTTTTATAGATATTGTTCTTTATAGGCCTGTTGTTCTTAATATCATTTATGACTTGTTTTAATTCAATTTTGAAAGTTTCATCACGTATTGGTTAAAATTATTTATATAATATTTTTACAAACTAAAATTAAAATTAAAAGGTTAAGTTATAAAACGAAAAGTAAAACTAAAATAAAAATATAATTTGAATAAGTTAAGTGAATACGCTTTACATAATATAATTCATATTAAGATCAATATTCAACATATATAGTGAAACCAAT